TAGAGAGCTTATCTGAGGTTCCTGGAGCTGTCTTGTCCAGTCATCTGATATCTCAAGTTATGCAGGAATGCATGTCCAACAATTTCGCCTCCTATTTGAGAGGTGTCAGTCCAATTTCAACCTCTAGAGCACGAAAATTCCTTCCCATCACACCAACGTTGTACACAATTCAAAACCAAGATGGTGAGTCTCCTTCTACGCAGCCGCAGGCTTTCCGTTTTCTATGACATAAATATTTTTAAATACAGTATGGCCATCTATTTACATATAAATACTGAATTTCTGGAAAATATATACAGTATTTTCCACAGTCTGTTTCATTTCTTAACATTCTGATACCGAGTACAGTATTAATCTCAACAATCCTATAACTGATACTAGAAATACCAAGATCCTTCTTCATATTAAGAACCTTGTAGCATTGGGACAGCAGGTGTAAAGTGACTAACACCAAGGTACGTACTTATTTTATTGCTAGGCAAACAGAGATAGCACTTGTCTCCCTAAGACACCTGCTGTAACAGCAGATGTCTTAGGAAAACAATGAATGAACGGGGATTGAACTACAGACGTCAATGTGTGAACTGAGTGCGCTACCAACCTAGCCATGGGACACCACTGGCAGCAACAACCTTCCAAATGTCATAAGTAAGTCATATATATATCACAATAGCCACACAGTGTTGATGTATCGTATTAATCATATATCACCAATAGTATTAAAATATCTAACAATAATTATATAGCCTGCGTTAATAAAAATATTCACAGTAATTTATCATAATAAAGTAACGATTGGGCCTCGAGTTCCACTGAAAACTTTGAATACATGTGTTTATATCCAGCAGGAGCACGACACACTATAGGTTTTGAGGACTTCCTATAATACCTGCGCTACTGATGTATATACCAATATATAAATCTCGTGGTTCATTATTTGTTTTAACATTTTCATATTTTATAAATAAAGGAGACTATACAGTGATGTTAAAGGATATTAGATATATTATTTTTATTATTATCTAATTTATATACGCCACGTGGTGTGGCTGATTTAGTTTCGATATAAGACGAAGATTGTATTCGGATTAATAACCCAGGATAATGCAAGAAAGACTAGCAGTGTGGCTTATTACACTGACTACCTCATGTATTTCGGTCGCTGATGTAATGGTTTAGAAACCTTACACTAATGGATTTGTCCACTGGTGACTCCGCCTCCTCCTGCTGTTACTCACCTCACTGCAGTATATAAGCCACTTCTCCGATTATATGTTGTACAGTAGGTAACGGTTTTAATCATAACCATAATTTTTAAAGGGGTGGAGGGGTAAACCAGTAGAAGGCCTCGGTCAGATGACCAAAAGCTCCAGCTGAGGGTCATCATATGATTAAGACCTGCATATACCTGGAGAGTATTTTGGGGGTCAACGCCCTCGCGGCCCGGTCCATGACCAGGCCTCGCAGTGGATCAGGGTCTGATCAGCCAGGCTGTTACTACTGGCCACACTGCACTGCTAACATCATGCTTCTTGTCGTAACTGTATCTATGTGTAAGTTTATTCAGGTATACACAAATACAGTTACATAGATTGTCATACACTTGCGTGTATGTATGTGCTCATGTGAACGTGTACGTACATGTAGACCATGTGTAATAGGACAACTAAGTAATCACTCAACGATACTTTGTGGCGATTCCCGTAGAGTTGTACCACACAATAATAATAATAATAATAATAATAATAATAATAATAATAATAATAATAATAATAATAATAATAATAATAATAATATCTTTATTTCTACAAGTACATGTACAAGGTATACAGTCCTAGTTGACATCAGTGACATACTACCATATAGAAAGCACCTTGTTATGCAGAGCAGATTAGGTATTATTTTAGGTTGGTTAGTTTAATATGTTCATTATTCGCCCTATACCCATCCCGTGGGTCACTGAACACACCCATATTGTTAAAATATATACTGCGAAAAAAAATTCAGGGATTTTTTTCTCCCGTTTATAAGAGAGAAAAGCAATAGATTGATATTACTGATTATTATTATTATAATCAAAAAGAAGCGCTAAGCCACAAGGGCTATACAGCAATATTACTGATACAAACCTGGTTGATCAGGTCCTAATCCAACAGGAGGCCTGGTCATGGACCGGGCCGCGGGGGCGTTGACCCCTGGAAAATCCTCCAGGTAGTCATACTACCATGCAAAGATACATAGTTGACCATAGAACTGCAAGGAAAAAAAATAAGTACTTTAAATCCAGTTTAATATTTGATGTAAGTTTAACATCAAAATTAATATCTCCTAAACGGCTAAAGAGAACTTCGTAAAATATTGTAATAACATCAGCAAATTAGAGGTCACAAAGCATTAAAATATTCAGTCACCCTCTGAATAAGGCAAACTAATGTTGAAAGTTTGAAGCTGATCTGACAAAGTATTCTTTAGTTAATGAAGATCACTGTGCAAGACAGGTATACAATACAGACAAGATGAAAGTTAAGACACTTGTGCAACATCTGGTTGTCTTTATCGCACATGTGCAACATCTGGTTGTCTTTATTGTACATGTGCAACATCTGGTTGTCTTTATCGCACATGTGCAACATCTGGTTGTCTTTATTGTAGACATTTCGCCATCTAGTGGCTTTATCAATACAGATTCTTGGACATAATTAGAAAACAGAAGAACTATATACAAAAGATGAGGTAATCAGTCCCTCAGCCTTGGAGGTGGTGTTTAGAGCACCGTGGTTGTAGAGATTCTGAAGCACAGGTAAGGAGACTGGCGCTAATAAAGGCGTCAGTAAATAGGGACGTGTAGCATCGTGGGCATAGTCACCGGTAGGCGGGATTTCCTAGTGGAAGTAGGTCCTACCCAAATTGATGAGTTAGTTGTAGTAGCCGTGAAGACCAACTGGATCCTGAGCCATGTAGGTATCCCCGGCAATGATGCCGCAGAAGAGGCTGCGAAGACCGCAACGCTGGAGGCACAGCCACGTGCTGCAGTCTCCATCAGCCACAACCAGATTATGCTATGGGCTATAAGGCTTCTTCCTGTCACTTCAACTCCATATTGTTTCAGACTATGGAACAATACGTTTCTCCAGACTGAGGGACTGACCACCTCAAAACTTCAAGGGTGATGGACTGATTACATCGTCTTCAAGTTTCTTCTGCTTCTATCAACTTTTCTGTACTCGACTGAAGAAGCCTACTGTGTAGGCTAAACGTTTCGAAATAAAGATACCTAACTGTTGCATATGTGTCTTACCTAACATGCTATGGGCTGCCAGTACTGCCAGGCACCCACTCCCTGACCCTGGGGATTCACGGAGAAGCCGCTGGTATGACAGTGCGACTCACAGGGCGTCCCTTCCAAGTATTCGAATGCAGACCAGAGAACTGCAGGTGCATATCCACCGCCTACGCTTAGGGTATCCCACCACTGCACGGATTGTTGAACGGGCACGAGAGGAGCTCTGTGCCCATTGTGACCGGATGGTTCCGAAACCCCTGGTGCACTACCTGTTAGACTGCCCAACTACGATGCCCCTTCGCCGCAGACACTTCCCAATGGCCTCAGTGGGGCAGACCCGGGAGGATAAGGCGGCACATCTAGTGTAATTAGCCATCAGAGACTTGGAAACCTTACTCACAGTTATTCCACGTCACCCCTACCCCCGCTGACGTCGGTGTGAAGGCCTGCTGAGAGCCTCCGTTGCACCACACACCAACCAACGTTAGAGCAACTAACTTTTAGGTCATCATTTGTCCATAGAACCGGAGAGGAACCCCTCTTCTCACCGAAGGACTGCCACGCATGTACCCGGGAAGCCAGTGCCGGGCCACCAAATTGGAAGAGACCCGGGCCGGGATCCATACCGGCAAATCACCTAGAATAGAAAAATACATAGATTATCATACATAGTAGCATACAGTTACATAGATTATCATACATAGTAGCATACAGTTACATAGATTGGCCCATAATGCCTAGGCATAATAGAGGCTTTCTTTGCATTGCAACCCACTATTGTAAATACAAAATCTCAATGTACTGTTTGCAAAGACATAAAATAATAAATAAATAAATAAATTATCATACATAGTAGCATACAGTTACATAGATTATCATTGTAGATGAATGGTTCAGAGAACCGACACATTGATAAATTAGACACATGTGCAACTCTTGGGTATCTTTATTGAGGAAACGTTTCGCCACACAGTGGCTTCATCAGTCCATACAAAGGAGAATCGTGAAGAACAGGAGAAGAATGAGGTAATCAGTCCCTCAACCCTCCTGTTCTTCACGATTCTCCTTTGTATGGACTGATGAAGCCACTGTGTGGCGAAACGTTTCCTCAATAAAGATACGCAAGAGTTGCACATGTATCTAATTTATTAACGTGTCGGTTCTCTGAACCATTCATCTACAGTTAAATAGATTATCATACATAGCAGCATATATGTGTGGAGAACCTAGGATAGCCCCCAAAAAAGTCAAAGTGACTTATTCTCATTGTGATCTGATCCTCATTTTAATGTTAATATAAATAACTCTGCTTGCCTTATTCCTAGTATATCTTCTTTTATTGTAACTGTTTTCACATAGTTGAGCTACTTAGCTGTTTTAACTTTTAAATTTGAAATAATAAGATATTAAAGGACCCCAATGGAAATAAGTCACTCTGTCTGACTTTTTTGGGTTATCCTAGGTTCTCTACACATATGCTGCTATGTATGATAATTCTATGTAACTGTATTGTGTATACCTGAATAAATTTACTTACTTACTTACTTACTAAAGAACCCCGATGGAAATAAGTCACTGACTGACTTTCATGGATTATTCTGGTGGGTAATCTACTTATATGTTACTATGTATGATAATTTATGTAACTGTATTTACGTGTACCTATACCTGAATAAACTTACTAACTAAGAGGTAAACCCACAAGGGTGATAACTGGTGTTGGTGGTAGAGGTGGTGAGTGTGGGATGCCTGTCAGAGCTTCAGCCTCAGCGTGGAGCGACGATAATTCCTCTTTATTTTCTTATTAATATAACTCACCATGACTTAACATGTGAGTAATTAAGTGCCTCCACCCTAGTGACGGCTGGTTAACGGTGGTTGACTAATGTAATGAGTGAAATTAGGCCTAAAACACGTGTAATTAAGAGTGTGATTGTGGTGTTTGGGTTGTGGGATGTAAACAACAACATCAAAGTGCTGGATATTCAAGTTGATCATTTTGATAACTTTTATTTCCTATATAACCACCTTTATTTTTCAGTCGTAGCCTACATTCCTTGATAAGTTTTATATGTTTTGAATGTTCAGAACCCTATGGTAAATTATAAGCACACTAGATCACTGAGATTCAGTACTGATGAACGAGGCACCTGGGAAAGCGGTAAACCCGTGAGCGTCATGACTCCTCTTGGGCACTGGCAGGACTGTGGTAATCAGATCTGATTCGGGAAAGAAGTGGGCTGTTCCGATACCTTTGATCATAGACCTCTTCACCAGCATCAAGGCATGTCCATCCCACTTTGAAGGGGCCTGTGATAATGTTATGGGTATGACAGTGGAAACTATTTATATTTGGCTTTGTTAGATTATCCTAGGTTAATTTCATATAATTTATCAACCTGGGCTAAAATTTATGATAATTTCTGTGTGAATTTGGCATTAGTTTACATTTTATGATGCAACCTATATACACCACAGAAAAAGGAAACATTTCTTGTGGAAATTGTTATTTTGGGAGATATTAGTGGCACCAGTGTTCTTATATGGGTGTGAAGCATCGGTGGTGAATGTTACAACAAGGCGAAGGCTGGAGGCAGTGATGTCGTGTCTGAGGGCAATGTGTGGTGTAAATATAATGCAGAGAATTCGTAACTTGAAGATTAAAAAAAGGTATGGGGTTTTTAAAAGTATTATCCAGAGGGCAGAGAAGAGGTTGTTAAGGTGGTTCTGACATTTAGAGAGGATAGAACAAAATAGAATAAATTGGAGGATGTATAAATCAGTAGTGGAAGGAGGGTGGAGTAGGGGTTGTCCTAGTAAGGGGTGGAGGGAGGAGGTAAAGGAATTTTTGTGTACAAGGGGCTTGGTCTTCCAGCAAGCGTGTGTGAGCGTGTTAAGATAGGAGCAAGTGGAGGCAAATGTGTTTTATGACTTGACATGCTGTTGGAATGTGAGAAAAGTAACATTTATTAAGGGATTTGGGGAAACTGGCAAGCCAAGACTTGAGTCCTGGAGGTGGGAAGTATAGTGCTTGTGCTCTGAAGGAAGTTTACCTGGAGTTTACCTGGAGAGAGTTCCGGGGGTCAAAGCCCCTGTGGCCCAGTCTGTGACCAGGCCTCATGGTGGATCAGAGCCTGATCAACCAGACTGTTACTGCTGGCTGCACACAATCCAACGTACGAGCCACAGCTCGGCTGGTCAGGTACTGACTTTAGGTGCTTGTCCAGTGCCTGCTTGAAGACAGCCAGGGGTCTATTGGTAATCCCCCTTTTGTATGCTGGGAGGCAGTTGAACAGTCTTGGGCCCCTGACACTTATTGTGTTGTCTCTTAACGTGTTAGTGACACCCCTGTTTTTCATTGGGGGGATGTTGCATCATCTGCCGAGTCTTTTGCTTTCATAGTGAGTGATTTTCGTGTGCAAGTTTGGTACTAGTCTCTCTAGGATTTTCCAGGTGTATATAATCATATATCTCTCCCACCTGCGTTCCAGGGAGTACAGGTTCGGGAACTTCAAGTGCTCCCAGTAACTGAGGTGTTTTATCTCTGTTATGCGCGTCGTGAAGGTTCTCTGTACATTTTCTAGGTCAGCAATTTCACCTGCCTTGAAAGGTGCTGTTAGTGTGCAGCAATATTCCAGCCTAGATAGAACAAGTGACCTGAAGAGTGTCATCATTGGCTTGGCATCCCTAGTTTTGAAGGTTCTCATTTTCCATCCTGTCATTTTTCTAGCAGATGCAATAGATACAATGTTATGGTCCTTGAAGGTGAGATCCTCCAACATGATCACTCTCAGGTCTTTGATGTTAGTTTTACACTCTATTTTGTGGCTGGAATTTGTTTTATACTCTGATGAAGTTTTAATTTCCTCATGTTTACCATATCGGAGTAATTGAAATTTCTCATCGTTGAACTTCATATTGTTTTCTGCAGCCCATTGAAAGATTTGGTTGATGTCCGCCTGGAGCCTTGCAGTGTCTGCAATGGAGGACACTGTCATGCAGATTAGGGTGTCATCTGCTGTGGCTGACACCCTTGTCTGTGTCGGATATGAGGATGAGAAACAGGATGGGAGCAAGTACTGTGCCTTGCGGAACAGAACTTTTCACCGTAGCCGTCTCAGATTTTACTCTGTTGACTACTACTGTGTTCTGTTTGTGAGGAAATTATAGATCCATCTACCAACTTTTCCTGTTATTCCTTTAGCACGCATTTTGTGTGCTATTACGTCATGGTCACACTTGTTGAAGGCTTTTGCTAAGTCTGTGTATATTACATCTGCATTCTTTTTGTCTTCTAGTGCATCTAGGACCTTGTAGTGATCCAGTAGTTGGGGCAGACAGGAGCAACCTGCTCCAAACCCATGTTGCCCTGGGTTGTGTAACTGATGGGTTTCTAGATGGGTGGCAATCTTGCTTCTTAGGACCCTTTCAAAGATTTTTATGATATGAGATGTTAATGCTATCGGTCTGTAGTTCTTTGCTATTGCTTTACTGCCCCCTTTGTGGAGTGGGGCTATGTTTGTTGCTTTTAGTAACTGTGGGACGACCCTATGTCCATGCTCCCTCTCCATAGGATGTTAAAAGCAACGTGATAGGGGCTTCTTGCAGTTCTTGATAAACATGGAGTTCCATGAGTCTGGCCCTGGGGCAGAGTGCATGGGCATGTCATTTATTGCCTGTTTGAAGTCATTTGGCATCAGGATAACATCAGATAGGCTTGTGTTTACCAAATTCTGTGGCTCTCTCATAAAAATTCATTTAGATCTTCGACTCTCAGTCTGGTTAGCAGCTCGCTAAAAACTGAGTCATATTGGGACTTGAGTAGCTCATTCATTTCCTTGCTGTCATCTGTGTAGGACCCATCTTGTTTAAGTAGGGGCCCAATACTGGATGGCATAAGAAAAGAAATACATACTTTGGGTTTCTTTCGATTTCATTTATGGCTTTTAGTTCTTCCCGTGATTTCTGACTCCTATAAGATTCCTTTAGCTTTAGTTCGATGTTTGCTGTTTCTCTGACCAGTGTCTCCCTACACATTTCAGATATATTGGCCTCTTTTAGCCGCTCTGTTATTCTTTTCTGTCCCTGTAAAAGGAGCGCCTGTCTCTTTCTATTTTATATCTACTCCTCCTTTTTCTTAAAGGAATATGCCTTGAGCATTCATCGAGTGCCACAGAGTTAATCTGTTCTAGGCATAAGTTGGGGTCTGTGTTGCTTAGTCTATCTTCCCAGCTTATATCGTTTAGGACTTGGTTTACTTGGTCCCACTTTATGTGCTCGTGACTGATCTCATTTTGTCGGTGTGGGGCTCCGTGCATACATGTGTGAACCTCAATTATGTTGTGATCCGAGTATATATTGTTTTTGATATGGTGACATTTCGTATCAGATCATCATTGTTAGAGAAGATGAGGTCCAGTGTGTTCTCCAGTCTAGTAGGCTCTATTATTTGCTGGTTTAAGTTGAATTTTGTGCAGAGATTTATAAGCTCGTGTGTGTGAGTTTTGTCTGAGCTGCCTCCTGGTGTTATCATTGCAACAACATTATTTGCTATATTCCTCCATTTTAGGTGCCTTAGGTTGAAATCCCCCAGGAGGAAGATATTGGGGGCAGGAGCTGGAAGATTTTCCAGATAGTGGTCGATTTTCAACAGCTGTTCCTGGAATTGTTGGGACGTTGCATCCAGAGGCTTGTAGACTACCACAATGACTAGATTTTGGTTCTCGATCTTTACTGCTAAAACTTCCACTACATTATTTGAAGCATTAAGCAGTTCTGTGCAAATAAGTGACTCTGTGACATACAGGCCAACCCCCCCCCCCTTTTGCCTGTTCACTCTGTCGCATCTGTATAGGTTGTAACCTGGGATCCATATTTCATTGTCAAAGTGATCCTCTTTGTAGGTCTCTGTGAAAGCCATGAACATTGCATTTGGCTCTGCAAGCAGTCCACGGATGAAAGGTATTGTGTTGTTCATTGCTGGCTTTAGTGTGTTGATATGCTGCAGTTTTTGAGCTGTAGTGTAAGCATGCCTCTGCCAAGACAGTGATAAAATGTGTGTGTGTGTGTGTGTGTATGGGGGGGGGGTGAAGGATGTAGCCTCCATTTTTCCCGTATGATCTTTGGTTCATTTTACAAAATTTTTTAATTTCACTCTATTTTCATGAACATGACTACGTTGTTAATTGACAGCCACCTGTATCTACACATGAAAGTAAAAGGCATAATGATAGTCTCAATATGGTTGAAAGACTCTCGTGTTCTTTATTCATGTGAAGCGACCAAGATCCTCGGAGTGAAATGTATCTAATAATGATATCCTAAGTGTATGCAATGCTCTTTCATCCATATATAATATTCTGAACTTTCTTGTTTAAATGAGCACTCTGAACATTTTTTCACAAATTCTTTACCCTGAAAATACAAAATAGGAGGATAGGCCTCACAAATCACTTATTGTAGAGGAAGTGAAAAGAAAGGATTCACAATCAATCAACTCATTGGAAATTGAAACTGAATAAAAATTTGATGGTTGTTGGTTTTTATTAGATCAAGAGTAATAATGATTAAAGAGTTGACTAAAAGAACAGTGTCAAGACTCAGGCCAGGCTATGAGAGTGGAAGAGCAGTCAAAACCAGTCACAGGTATGTCATAGGCATGCCACATTAGTGTTTATTTTCAGTTAATAGATTACTTGTGAATTGTCCTATACAAGGTGCAGTTTTGTTATTTTTCGTCTGCTAAAAGGGGAACAAACTTGACACACTAAAAGGACAAAAGTTTAGAGAAAATTCTGATGAAAGGAAAGGGAAAAAATATAGTATACTGTAATGACAGTGTGGAGGTGGACAGATGGCACTAGATTATGAAGTGGAATACATAGCCATTGTAGCCCAAAATGAAACTTTTAATAGAAAAAAAAGGTGCCCCTTTAGCTCCTTGTTAGTAGAGTAATTTTCTTTTAAGGGTGGTATAGGTCAGCTAATATTAAAGTACCAAAATAATGTACTATGTATTTATCAACAGTGTCTGTCTCATTTAACATCTTAGGATAAACACCATTACAAATTTTGGCATCTCTTGCTCTTTGGTAATTTGTAGTCCAAATATAGATTACATGATATGCTCATGCAAAATTATTTGCTGTATTGTATTATGTTAAGCTTGCACAAAATATGGTCCAATTGTGAAATTCTTGTCCAATTTTGTGGTGTACACAAACTTGCTACCACTAAACAATGAATGCAATGTATGTCTGTTTTAGTTCTCTTCAACAATATACCTTGTTACAGTGTAACAAAGCTGAATTTATTCACTAATTTTTGTTTGTTACACAGATATGCATTACAGTATTCTTTTAAGAAAGGTTCCCTCATGTCAAACGGGAGCAAATATGTGTGCCAGCACTGCAACAAGTCCTACACATCAGATTCAGAACTACAAGAACATTTATGTAATTTCTGCAATGAATGTGAAGATGTTTTTCTTCATTACGACGGCTGGAACGTCATCAGTGTGGAAAAGACCATTTCTGTATAAAATGCAGGCGTAATTTTACATCTTCAAGTAGATATAAGTACCACAAGTGTACATACTGTCCTAAATGTACCTATAATTATAGTACATTTCAAAAATTAAAAAATCACAAGTGTACAGAGAGAAAAGGATTAAAAGACGAAAAAGAAAAGCCCAGTATTAAAAAGTCAGAGAATTCTGCGGACCAGAGCATTAGCAGTTGTAGTAGCCTAGAAGAGGCTCCTGCACCAGAGCAGTTAGAGATACACCAAGCAGAGCAGGTTAGGATAATTCCAATACTAATAACAAAAGAAACGAGGTTAGACGACGTGCCTCAGCAAGAGCCTTCTGCTTCCATTGTTCTTCAGAAGTCTCCGACATCGAACCACAGTACAGGAAACGGTAACTGCTATTTTAATTGGCTGTGATAAATCATTTATTTTGTAAACTACATATAAACTGCATGCAACCAGCCAGTAGGTGCATTACTGTATCACTAAATGTAGATTTCTACTGTGCTACTGTACTTTTAAATGTAGACACTCTGAAGTGCATTTATCAGTTGCAGTTAAACATTTATAATTTGTGTGTTTTTTTTTTTTTTTTTTTTTAGGAGATTATGGAATTTGTCATACATGATAATGTACTATATTTAGCGACTTAGTCTGATACTGTTTGTGGTTATTTGCTTGCTGTTCTGTGTTTTGTTGCATTTTTACCTTTGTAATTGTGAACATAAATGAGACGTATTTATTTTATTTTTAAATAGTACAGTACAGTACTTTGTTAAATCAATTGATGTGAGCTTCAAATTGTGATTTCCTAGTCTAACACAGCCTATTTGTTCAGTAAAATATTTCTTATTTTGTGTCCATATTAAAGGATGGGAGCCCTTACAACACACATACACACACACACACACACACACACACACACACACACACACACACACACACACACACACACACAACACACACACACACACACACACACACACACACACACACACACACAACACACACACACACACACACACACACACACACACACACACACACACACACACACACATACGCCCCACACACACACATACACATACAATACATAATTTTGTGGTCAAATTTAAATCAACACTACAAAATATAAAATTTGTTACACAATTTGATAAGGTAACACAGATTTGAGGAAGAAAGAGATTAAGAAAAGTTTGATTACCGACTTCAGTAGCTCATACTGCGCACTGAGTACCCTGTTCATAGTGAGGTGCTAGTTATGAAATATTTAACTGTTTAGAATTTGTATTGAGATTATTGCATGTTGTAGCACAAATTGTGAAATATGTCATTATGGTTATCAGTACAAAATACAGTATATGTATCAGATACAACAAAAAAATTAAGTATCTCTGTTAATTGCAGTGAGGTTGACCTTAAATGATGCACTCTAGTTTAAATAATATGATTTTACATTTAGTTCATTTATGTACTGTACTTCCTCTGTATTCACGAGGGTTCAGTTTTTGAGAGAAACTCAGATGATGAATTTACAGTTACTGAGCATATATACTGTTTCACTCCAGGTTCCCTGTAGTCCTCATAATAAAGACTGATATTATTGACCATTTCTAAAGGAAATGGGCCATTTTTAGCCATTTCTAAAAGAAATGGGCCATCTACTAGACTATGTATCTTTTATGCAGGTTGTGGAGCCAGGAGCAGTTTAAAAATTAAGTTAAATTTTTGGATAGGTCTTTCATACTCCATGCAATTTAGTAATCTGGACTCCAGCTGCGGATTAAGGTCATTAGAATCTCAGTGCGTTAAAAACTTGGCTATTGAAGATTTAGACACTTATGCAACATATGGAAATCTTTATTCAGGAAACGTTTCGCCACACAGTGGCTTCACTGTGTGAAGAATAAAGATTTCCATATGTTGCATGTGTCTAAATCTTCAAATTGTCGGTTTTTCAAACCATTCATCAAAACTTAGCTATTACAATGGCAAACTTGCTAGTGCAAAACTTGAGTAACCTGAGGGAAGTTGCAGTTGATTCATAAGAAAAGACTTGACTCATATATGATTAGTTATATTGCATGAGCAAGAGAGCAACAGAGAGGGTGAAGTAATATTTGGTGTGTAACAAAAGTTTGTTTTTAGAAGTGTTTACCCCCTTCCCTCACTATTGTCGTAGGCACATTTGGAAATTGAAGTTTGTATTGCATGAGTGTCAATTTTTAAGTTGGATTTTTTTTTTTTTTGATAGCAAACTATTTATATTTATTTATAATTACAGTAATTATTGTGTTTTATCCCATATACTCTGATCTTGTGTAGTATACAGTATGTCCCTAGCTTAATGCAGTAATATGTTACAGATGCATAGCAGGTGTTCTAAGCACATCTATCTATCAAACCTTAATTCCATATTAAATGAATCTTCAATACACTGTACGAACTCCACCAATCACATGTGGCAAATGCATATTGGTATTACCAACACAAATGGTACAGCTCATAATAGAATTCACATAAAGCAAACTTAAATTGAGGGATGCTTGTACAAAGGTTAAAGTAAAACTCCACAAGCTTAATGTATTTTTTCTTATGATAAAGGTGACATTAGACTGGTATCACTTTCATAGCTGCACAATATTTCTGAGTTAGATCACGCATTTAGACAACATATTTATAAGTAGCCTAGATATTTTATGACAGATGCACAGTAAATAATTCCTCAGTAACTGTTTACTTATATGAGGTTTTGTGGTTTGTATGTAAGTCTAAGTTTTATATGTAGTGAGTACAGAAGTGTGGCACATAATTTAGTTATAGTATGTACATGTATATAAATGAGGTGTTGCAATTTGTGTTATTGTTGTTCAAACAGCTTTTGCATTGAGACTAGTGAATGTAATACTATATTTTAAAAGAAGCTGTGCATACAGTATATGCTGTATATGTTTTTGCATATACGAATGGCTCTGTTTACACTATATAGGTTTGAAGAAAAAATAATTATAGCACATCGACTATTGCCACCAAAGTAGGATGATCGAAAGAAGGAACTCATTGACTATTTGTAAAAGAATAATGTACTGTAACTCAATACTGATAAATTGCAAAATAAAGACACTAAGAAATACCTAAGATATTTATTAGTAAATTTTTTTTTTTTTTTTTCAACAAGTCGGCCGTTTCCCACCGAGGCAGGGTGACCCAAAAAAAAGAAAGAAAATCCCAAAAAGAAAATACTTTCATCATCATTCAACACTTTCACCACACTCACACATTATCACTGTTTTTGCAGAGGTACTCAGAATGCAACAGCTTAGAAGCATATACGTATAAAGATACACAACATATCCCTACAAACTGCCAGTATCCCAAACCCCTCCTTTAAAGTGCAGGCATTGTACTTCCCATTTCCAGGACTCAAGTCCGACTATATGAAAATAACCGGTTTCCCTGAATCCCTTCACTAAATATTACCCTGCTCACACTCCAACAGATTGTCAGGTCCCAGGTACCATTCGTCTCCATTCACTCCTATCTAACACGCTTACGCACGCTTGCTGGAAGTCCAGGCCCCTCGCCCACAAAACCTCCTTTACCCCCTCATAAGAACATAAGAAAGAAGGAACACTGCAGGAGGCCTGCTGGCCCATACTAGGCAGGTCCTTTACAATTCATCCCACTAACAAAACATTTGCCCAACCCAATTTTCAATGCCACCCAAGAAATAAGCTCTGATGTGAAAGTCCCACTCAAATCCAACCCCTCCCACTCATGTACTTATCCAACATAGATTTGAAACTACCCAAAGTCCCAGCCTCAATAACCCAACTAGGTAGACTGTTCCACTCATCAACTACAATATTTCCAAACCAATACTTTCCTATGTCCTTTCTAAATCTAAACTTATCTAATTTAAATCCATTACTGCGGGTTCTCTCTTGGAGAGACATCCTCAAGACCTTATTAATATCCCCTTTATTAATACCTATCTTCCACTTATACACTTCGATCAGGTCTCCCCTCATTCTTCGTCTAACAAGTGAATGTAACTTAAGAGTCTTCAATCTTTCTTCATAAGGAAGATTTCTAATGCTATGTATTAATTTAGTCATCCTACACTGAATGTTTTCTAACGAATTTATGTCCATTTTGTAATACGGAGACCAGAACTGAGCTGCATAATCTAGGTGAGGCCTTTCGAGGGCGACCCCTACCCCGCCTTCCTTCCCCTATAGATTTATATGCTTTCCATGTCATTCTACTTTCATCCATTCTCTCTAAATGACCAAACCACCTCAACAACCCCTCTTCTGCCCTCTGACTAATACTTTTATTAACTCCACACCTTTTCCTAATTTCCACACTCCGAATTTTCTGCATAATATTTACACCACACATTGCCCTTAGACAGGACATCTCCACTGCCTCCAACCGTCTCCTCGCTGCTGCATTTACCACCCAAGCTTCACATCCATATAAGAGTGTTGGTACTACTATACTTTCATACATTCCCTTCTTTGCCTCCATAGATAACGTTTTTTGACTCCACATATACCTCAACGCACCACTCACCTTTTTTCCTTCATCAATTCTATGATTAACCTCATCCTTCATAAATCCATCCGCCGACACGTCAACTCCCAAGTATCTGAAAACATTCACTTCTTCCATACTTCTCCTCCGAAATTTGATATCCAATTTTTCTTTATTTAAATTATTTGATACCCTCATCACCTTACTCTTTTCTATGTTCACTTTCAACTTTCTACCTTTACACACATTCCCAAACTCATCCACTAACCTTTGCAGTTTTTCTTTAGAATCTCCCATAAGCACAGTATCATCAGCAAAAAGTAACTGTCAATTCCCATTTTGAATTTGATTCCCATAATTTAATCCCACCCCTCTCCCGAACACCCTAGCATTTACTTCTTTTACAACCCCATCTATAAATATATTAAACAACCATGGTGACATTACACATCCCTGTCTAAGACCTACTTTTACCGGGAAGTAGTCTCCCTCTCTTCTACACACCCTAACCTGAGCCTCACTATCCTCATAAAAACTCTTTACAGCATTTAGTAACTTACCACCTATTCCATATACTTGCAACATCTGCCACATTGCTCCTCTATCCACTCTATCAATGCCTTTTCTAAATCCATAAATGCAATAAAAACTTCCCTACCTTTATCTAAATACTGTTCACATATATGCTTCAATGTAAACACTTGATCTACACATCCCCTACCCACTCTGAAACCTCCTTGCTCATCCACCATCCTACATTCTGTCTTACCTCTAATTCTTTCAATTATAACCCTACCATACACTTTTCCTGGTATACTCAGTAAACTTATTCCTCTATAATTTTTACAATCTCTTTTGTCCCCTTTCCCTTTATATAAAGGGACTATACATGCTCTCCGCCAATCCCTAGGTACCTTCCCCTCTTTCATACATTTATTAAACAAAAGTACCAACCACTCCAACACTATATCATCCCCTGCTTTTAACATTTGTGTCATGATCCCATCAGTTCCAGCTGCTTTACCCCCTTTCATTCTACGTAATGCCTCACGTACCTCCCCCACACTTACATTCTGCTCTTCTTCACTCCTAAAAGATGGTATACCTCCCTGGCCAGTGCATGAAATTACCGCCTCCCTTTCTTCCTCAACATTTAAAAGTTCCTCAAAATATTCTCGCCATCTACCTAATACCTCCCTCTCCCCATCTACTGACTCCTCTACTCTGTTTTTAACTGACAAATCCATACTTTCCCTAGGCTTTCTTAACTTGTTTAACTCACTCCAAAATTTTTTCTTATTTTCATTAAAATTTCTTGACAGTGCCTCTCCCACTCTATCATCTGCTCTCCTTTTGCACTCTCACCACTCTCTTTACCTTTCTTTTACTCTCCATATACTCTGCTCTTCTTATAACACTTCTGCTTTGTAAAAATCTTTTAAAAGCTACCTTTCTCTTTTTTATCACCCCCTTTTTACTTCATTTCCCCCCAATCCCCTCTTTCCCCCTGCCCCCACCCCCTATAACCACAAACTTCGCCCCACTTTAATAGCATTTTTTAAAACTATTCCAACCCCTTCAACACCCCCACTATCTTTTTTGCACTAGCCCCCCTTTTCCCTGTCCTTATATCTCACCCGAATTTCCCCCCCCCTTTATTTATACACTTTCCCCTCCCTCTTACTTTTTTTTGCCACCTTCCCTTGCCCATCCCTCTTACTTAACGTAGCTAAAAAACTAAATAATGACCCGATATATAGTTGCCCCTCTATAAAACTGTACACCCCTGAAGTCCCCATAAACCCTTTTTACCACCAATACATAATCTAACAAACTACTTTCATTATGTGTACATCATACCTTGTATATTTTTTTTATCCTCTTTTTCATAAAATAGGTATTACTTATTACCAAATCTCTTTCTACACAAGCTAAATTAAGGTTCCCCCATTTAATTTACCCCGGGCACCCCCAATTTACCTACTACTCCCCCCATAACTTTTTTACCACTTTAGCATAAAAATCCCCAACCACCATTACTCTCAATTGATTCAAAACTCCCCAGAAATTCACTCAATTTTTCCCAAAATCTCTCTCTCTCCTCACATTTTCTCTCTTCCCGGTGCATACACGCTTATTAACCCCCTTTTACATCCAACTTTATTTTACTCCACTAATCCTTGAAATTTTTAAAATTTATAGTCCCTCTTTTCCTGCCTAGCTTACCCCTTTAATATTATTGCTACTCCTTCTTTTGTTTTTAACTCTTTTGAAACCCCCGAACCCAATCCATTTTTCCTCTCCATTGAAACTCTCCCACCCCCCTTTAGCTTTTTTTCACTTATAGCAGGACATCCAGCTTCTCTCATTCATAAATCCACAATCATCTCTTTTTATCATTTGCACAACTCCATGCCATTTAGACTTCCCACTTTGACAATTTTTCTTCTTATTCTTTTTAGAACTTTCAGGAAAAGGGGTTACTAGCCCATTGTTCCTGGGAATTTTTGTTGACTTTTACAATAGCATGGCTTATGGGAAAGATTTTATTCCACTTCCCCATGGAATAAAAAGGGAAAAAAAATAGGACCAAAACTAAAATAAAATCAAAAAAATCTATGAGTGTGTATAAATAAAAGGACATGTATGGTAGTGTGACCTAAGTGTAAGTAGGTAGCAAGACATACCCGTAATCTTTCTATTTATGAGAAGACAAAAGACCCAGCAATTTACCATCATGAAAACAATTACAGGCTTTCGTTTTTCCTCATTGGCAGGACGGTAAAACCTCCCTGGGTGGTTCCTGCTACCAACCTACAAATTCCAGGGGTTGCATGTGAGTTTTTTTTTTAAATTTTCTATAACAATGAATAGTTGTCTTGCCCGAAGTGCGCGAAAATACATTTCAGATGAGCCTTAGACCTCAACAAATTTATCTGGCTATGTTTTTTTCCAGTCCTCCACAACTAAAACTGAGTATCCTCTTTTACTTTCTCATTTTATTCTTTCATTTTTGTTTTTTGTCAGACATGTAGTTTTTTGTCATTTCTTGGTGGGTTGTAGTGTGTCATTTGTTTTTAAATGCACAACCGCACATAGGGGACAGAAACTTAGGACGATATTTCGGTCCAACTTGGATCATTAACCCTTAAACTGTCCAAACATAGATCTACGTTCACATGCGTAGTGCTCCAGAAGTAGATGTACATTTTTTTACATATTTTCAAATATAACAAAAAAAAAATGTAGATTAAAGTTTTTTTACACGCTATCAAATGTAAGAAAAAAAGATCTACTTTTTTTTTACATACTTTCAGATGTTGAAAAAACGTAGATCTACGTTTGGACAGTTTAAGGGTTAACTAGTCACACGCTAGTTAATGGTCCAAGTCAGACCAAAATATCATCATAAGTTTCTTTTATGTGTGGGTTATTTGTGTATTGCTCCAGTCAGAGAATTGTGCCATTCTGCTTCGATAAAAATCAGTGATGACATTTGGATTATTATTCTTGGCTTAGGTAGGTTACACTTACCTAAGGCTCCAGAGATCCAGGAAATTCAGTATTCCAGCTGAGCTGCAGTCATGAGTGTGAAGAACTGTGTATAAATACATTTCCTGCAGATTATCACAGCTGGGTGACTGAGAGGTGTCTGGTGAGCAGCATATACAGTTTCCTTTTATATGGTTTGGGTCACCCTCAACAGCTGCTCACTGGCACTTCTGTAAGCTTTATTTTTGCCTTTTTTTTTATCAACATTGTTGGGTCAGCCTGAGTATCAAAGTTTGCTAAGCATGAGTGTCATAACTTTTATTTTTGGTAATTTTTCTTTGTAATAAATTATGTTTTTCTATATTGTACATTACTTAATTTTGTAGTGTTGCATTTATTTTTTTAAACATGTTCTGTACTATGTATATACTGTAATCTCATTAATATGTAGCAAGGCACTTCTGCAACCAATTAGCATAGGTACCCAATACTTGACACTTGCATGTAAATGATCATCTCATTACTTCATAGCTGTAGACAGAGAGAGGTTTTTGGTAAGAAATTAGTCTCCTTTCTTTCAGTGAAACATTTTTTTTCCTTTACATATAAAGATACAGTATAAAACAATTTAATATACAGAGTGTTTAGCTATTTTATGTACTGTACTATAACATGCTATATAAATACAGTATTGTACAGTGGTACCCTGAGTTTCGGCCATAATTCGTTCCAGAAGGCTGTTCAAGTGTCATTACTGAATGAATTTGTTCCCATAAGGAATAATGTAAATTAGATTAGTCTGTTTCAGACCCCAAAAAATACACTTACAAAAGCACTTACAATAATACACTTAAATAATTGTTCGAGTTGGGAGCTGTACGAAACTCGGAGTATCACTGTAGTTTATTTATAAAATGTTAGATACATTAAAAACCTCAGTATAATGGACTCGAAGAGGAGAGGCGATGTCCGACCCTATGCGCGCACTTGATAAAACACTGAGAAAGAAATATAATTCATCCTAAAGGAAATTGTAAATATAGTACAGTAACAATAATGGATAATTCTGTACCTAGCAAATTTTGTCTGTTGTTTCTGAAGTCCTTTAAATGAAGGTCATACAAAATGCAGATTTTTTATAAAATAATATTTTGTGTTGATCAGGTAAGCAGAAAGGTCTGAGGAAAAGCAGGCTGAAGAGAGAGAGAGAAAGATTAAACTATAAAGAATATAACAATAGGAAATAGCATGCTTTTATTGGATGGCAAGAATTTACTTGGATATTAAAGCAGATAAATTAAATTTTCAGATAGCAACCTTTGTAGCTCCAGCAACATCACCATGGCAGAAGTAATTGATCTTTCAGATGATGACGTAAGTATGCATGAAATTTAATATGCTGTATGTCTGTACATTTGATAGTGTCTGCTGTAGATAAAAAGCACTTTGTTATATTTTTTATTGTACTGTACCCATATGCTAATTTGTTACTCGTAAAGCTAATTATATCATATAGTATGCAGTTTTAAGTACAATAATTCCTAGGCTTATGATTATTCAATTTGTGATGGTCCACATATAACGACATTAACATGTTGAAACCAATTAATTACTTATGAATGTGGACTCGCCCTTCTGAATGGCGAGACTATTTATGGCCATGGAAATATTTCCAGTGAGAAAGTATCAAAATTTAATATAAATACTATGCTGCCTACTGTACTCTAGCTCCTTTATGTTCATTAAAGAGTAGACATTAGTTAAGCACTATTTGATACTATTTACAATTGAAAAAAGAATAGTAATGAATGTAAAACACTGGGTAAATATTCTGAGCTAAAATTTTTTTTAAATTGGAAACAGAATGTGTATTATGGCTTAGGACTAGACCTCCAATTATAACGTGGGTGGCTATGGGAAAATATGGTGGGTTCCAAGCTTTGAACACTCCAGTTACAACTTTCAAGAATGCATTAATGTTGTAAGTTAGGAACCTACTGCAGGTACCTGTGAATTTCTTTCCACAGCTTGAAATAATTTGCTCTTACCTATTATTTCACTGCTAATATTAGGCCTTGCTCTTAATTTCATTATCTATAACAACCTGCTGTTTTACTTAAGTAATTTTGGTAGTTTTAGTAGTTAAATGGACAGTTACTTGTGCTAAATCAATACAACAGAAAGCATACTATTGAAATAGCTAAAAATTTGGTTGAAGGGAGCAGTGGAATTGGTTCAAAATAGGACTCAAAGTGGGCAAAAATCACTGGTGCACAAATTGTGCCCTGACTGCTAACTTTGCGCCTGCATAATTCTGGAAGTTTTTCCATCATATTTTGTACTTATGGTTTCATTACTCTCAGAAAAAGATTCTCTACCATTTCAGACTTTTTTGTGTGTGCACTGAGAGCAATATTTATTTTGAGGATCTGGACAGTGAAAGAGTTAGTTTAAGTTTGTCAATCTTAATCATCACACCTTGATGCTAATTTAGTGCTCTTGATTCAAGGAATTGGAGCTACCCTCTACTTGCTAATTGTGTACCTTCTATTACCCAGGTGATGTATAGCCTTTGTTCCTTTCTTGTACATTCAGGTTGTGATAGAAGAAATCCCCAGAAGAAAGGAGCCAAGTATAACCCTTATTCCTTTCTTGTACATTCAGGTTGTGATTGAAGAAATTCCCAGAAGGAAGGAACCAAGTGGTGTGAAGCGGCCATTTCGTTGTCTTAACTCAGACTGCCGTACAGAGAAGGATTTAATTCGTGCTGAAGATTATGTTCGTAGATACTTTGGGGTGCTTTCATACCCAAAGTGAGTGTCTTCTGTTTTCCACCTTGTAAAACAGTGACTAATCATAAACTAATGAAAAGTCGTTTTTTTTTTTTGTATAAATCATGGTTTTTAATATTTTCATGTTCACTAAAAGTGCTTTAGTGATCATGTTAACTGCAGTACATAGGTCATTGTGGCTTCATGTCTTCCTTTGTTTTTGTATGCAAAAAGACCACAAATAAACATTTGACCACACTGAAAAGAAGAAAGAATAAAGTTCCAGTGCTTTCATGATGTATCATCACATTCTTAGTGAAATGCAGTCTTCCATGAGAATAGGATTGAAACATCACAAAACGACTTTTCATGATAGCTTGTTTCACTACTTTACATATACCGTATATGCTGCAAGAGTGTTGCAATTGCAAATAACTACAAATCAGATACATATATTTTTTTCGACAAACCGGCCATATCCCACCAAGGCAGGGTGGCCCAAAAAGAAAAACAAAAGTTTCTCTTTTTTAATTTAGTAATTTATACAGGAGAAGGGGTTACTAGCCCCTTGCTCCTGGCATTTTAGTCACCTCTTACAACACGCATGGCTTACGGAGGAAGAGCTCTGTTCCACTTCCCCGTGGAGGTAGGGGAAATAAACAGGAACAAGAACTAGTAAGAAAATAGAAGAAAACCCAGAGGGGTGTGTATATATATGCTTATACATGTATGTGTAGTGTGACCTAAATGTAAGTAGAAGTAGCAAGATATACTTGAAATCTTGCATGTTTATGAGATAGAAAAAAGGACACCAGCAATCTCATGTAAAACAATTACAGCCTTTCGTTGTACGCTCACTTGGCAGGATGGTAGTACCTCCCTGGGTGGTTGCTGTCTACCAACCTACTACCTAGATACATATATTTATTTATTATATTTTATTATCACACCGGCCGATTCCCACCAAGGCAGGGTGGCCCGAAAAAGAAAAACTTTCACCATCATTCACTCCATCACTGTCTTGCCAGAAGGGTGCTTTACACTACAGTTTTTAAACTGCAACATTAACACCCCTCCTTCAGAGTGCAGGCACTGTACTTCCCATCTCCAGGACTCAAGTCCGGCCTGCCGGTTTCCCTGAATCCCTTCATAAATGTTACTTTGCTCACACTCCAACAGCACGTCAAGTATTAAAAACCATTTGTCTCCATTCACTCCTATCAAACACGCTCACGCATGCCTGCTGGAAGTCCAAGCCCCTCGCACACAAAACCTCCTTTACCCCCTCCCTCCAACCCTTCCTAGGCCGACCCCTACCCCGCCTTCCTTCCACTACAGACTGATACACTCTTGAAGTCATTCTGTTTCGCTCCATTCTCTCTACATGTCCGAACCACCTCAACAACCCTTCCTCAGCCCTCTGGACAACAGTTTTGGTAATCCCGCACCTCCTCCTAACTTCCAAACTACGAATTCTCTGCATTATATTCACACCACACATTGCCCTCAGACATGACATCTCCACTGCCTCCAGCCTTCTCCTCGCTGCAACATTCATCACCCACGCTTCACACCCATATAAGAGCGTTGGTAAAACTATACTCTCATACATTCCCCTCTTTGCCTCCAAGGACAAAGTTCTTTGTCTCCACAGACTCCTAAGTGCACCACTCACTCTTTTTCCCTCATCAATTCTATGATTCACCTCATCTTTCATAGACCCATCTGCTGACACGTCCACTCCCAAATATCTGAATACGTTCACCTCCTCCATACTCTCTCCCTCCAATCTGATATTCAATCTTTCATCACCTAATCTTTTTGTTATCCTCATAACCTTACTCTTTCCTGTATTCACCTTTAATTTTCTTCTTTTGCACACCCTACCAATTTATACATATATTTATACATTTTAAATTTTTTGGATTGATTCTTGTTGGTGAATTTTACTGTCATGTATTTAAGAAATGTTTTCAACAAAATTTGTATATTCCCTTGTAAATCAATTTTTTTTATCATTATTTTCAAGAAATGGTAATGCAAGACAAGAATTCTCGGTCATTATAAGTAGCGAGTGAGGTGCTCACCTCTTACTGTCTGGGCGCTTACTTTTGATATATCTTTGATGAGCTTCAAGAGTCTTACTACTCTCGGAGCCCAGCTATGGGCTTGTAATATGAACTTGGGCCTGCTGATGTAGGCTCAGTGGTATTGCAGAATACTAATAGATTCTAATTTGGTTTCCTACAGGAAAAAAAGAGTATGTACAAATTGTCTCAAGGAAGCCAAATCTCAGCAGGATTATTTGGTTGACACGTTACGTGCAGGACGGCTGTTGCTGGCGGAGAAACTTCCGCCCCCAAAGACCACTGTTGTGCTCACCGACTCTGATTCAGACCCCTCTGACAGTAAGGGTCTTTAACATCTATATACATGTATAATCAAATCAACATAATTTAGACTTCCTGATTTGATGCATTAACAATAGTGTGATAATATATGAAGTTAAAATTAACATTGTACTGTATTAAGAAAATGCAGCATTTTGCACTATGTCAGGTGACCTGGAAGATGCACTTTAATACTGAGTCAAAGTCTTTGTTATTGTTAATGCCAGTTTTACTTTCAATATCAATTAAAATGCAGTATGTACTCTATACAATAATTGTAAATTAGAATTAAAGCTCTTTTAACCCTTAAATGGTCCAAACGTATATATACGTTTTTTCAACATCTGAAAGTATGTAAAAAATGTAGATCTTCTTTTTTGTTTTACATTTGAAAACGTGTAAAAAAAACTTTTATCTACGTTTTTTTTTTGTTACATATGAAAATATGTTAAAAAAGTAGATCTACTTTTGGAGCACTACGAATTTGAACGTCGATTTGTTTGGACCGTTTAAGGGTTAAAGCTTCATAAGTAACTGACTTTAAAGTGCAGTCACCTATTTTAAACAGCTCCTCTATGAAGTGCAATTTTTCATAAATGCAACTGAAAAGTGCATTGACAGTTAAATAGCATGTACTATGAAGCCCTTTCCATACACACTTTAATTTTTTCATACATTTTTTTAAATTGCATTTACGAAAATTTCAATATTTAAAGGAGCTTTATAAGAAAGCTGACACTATTGTAAACAATCTTTCAAATTTTAACATGGTGAAATTTTTAACATATATTGGCAGTAGAAGCACATTTTTTAAATATGAAAAATGAAGAATAAATCTTCGATCTTAGGTCTTCTTGCTTAAATAACAAAAAAAGGCACAATACCGTGACTGGAACGATACACAAATAACCCGCACATAAAAGAGAGAAGCTTACGACGACGTTTCGGTCCGACTTGGACCATTTACAAAGTCACTTTGTAAATGGTCCAAGTCGGACCGAAACGTCATCGTAAGCTTCTCTCTTTTATGTGCGGGTTATTTGTGTATCTTCTTGCTTATAAAACAGTATCTCAAACATTTTGCACTTAACGTTTATTTACAATATTAAATGTTATGTGCTTTTATTTATAAGTCTTATCAGAGGTTCTTGATCCTATGATTTGAAGCTATTCTCTCTTTCCTTGGATCAGACCTGAATGCCTCCCATTACCCAAGTGCTGTATGACTCTTATGAGTGTAGCTCTTCTCCATAAATTTAAAAATTATTTTTTTTTATAGGCCTAAGCTACCCCCACACATTTGTTCCATTGACATGAGTATATATATGAGTATATTGCCCAATTTATTTGTCTTAAGTTGTCTTCTTGTATACATAATTTTCTTTTTATCTTTAAATCTTAACAGAATTTGTTGAAAATTTCAAATTTAATTGATGACTGTTGGCTAACATTTACCATAAAATTTTATTCTGATCAAAGCACTAGCTCTTCAGATAGATTTGGTGCCATAACTCCTGAACATTTAGGTACAGTATGACATTAACTTAATACTTGTAACCCAAGCTCTGTATCAGAAAAATTGGAGCTATCCTTCTCTTAAATTTGACCTGATTACCTCCCATTTCCCATGTATTATATGACCCTTATGGGTTTATTGCTTTTCTAAGGGTAAACTGTATTGTAATAATAATTTATATGTTTATGGTGCATCTCTACTCATAAATAAAGAACAAAAAAGCACAATACTGTGTGACTGGAACAATACACAAATAACCTACACAGAGGAGAAAAAAACTTATGATGATGTTTCGGTCCGACTTTACCATTAGTTTTAACTATTCAATATGTTTTAGATAATTCCGGTAGTGAAGACATAGACATTGAGTATGAATGTGAGGATGGCAAGAGCATGGAGGAAGTTGTGGCCGACCTGACTAGGAAACTCGGCTTAGACAAACAAATTATAAATGGCATCAAGCACTTGGAGGAGCGACTCTTGGCTGTACAAGGTAAGGGTGTGGCATAGTCACAAGTTGCTTTACTCATGGAGCACTCTATGTAACATTGAATTTAATAGTTTTAGTTTGTGGAGGGATTCAGGGAAACCAGTTAGCCGAACTTGAGTCCTGGAGGTGGGAAGTACAATGCCAATACTCTAAAGGAGAGGTTTAGGATATTTACTGTTTGGAGGGACATCTGAACTGTCGTATCTGCGCACCTCTGGCAAGACAGTGATGGTGCGAATGATGGTGAAAGTGTTTCTTTTTCAGGTCACCCTGCCGTGGTGGGAGACAGCCAGCATGTTAAAAAATTAATACAGTAATAATAATTCATTTATTTTTCATATTTGCTGTGTAACAATGATTTTCCTTGTCATTTTTTATGATCTAACTTGTGTGCACCTTTTGAGAAAGTACATAGCTGGCAAGACAGCTGTTGAATGAATGATGGTAAGTTTTTCCTTTTTTTTTATCACTATATCTTGATGTGAGATGTCCAGTGTGGAAGAAAAAGTGTTACATACAGCACTGCATTGTAGTTTTCATTTTTTATAGTATCTAAATTGTACTATGAGAAGAAACAGAAGCTACGGACAGTGGAGATTTAATGTTTGAGAGCAATGTGTGCTGGGAATATTATGCAGTGAATTTGGAGACTAGAAATTAGAAGACTGAGTCACCAAGGGTGCAATTCAGAGGTCAGAGGAGAGGTGGTTGAGCAGTTAGATTGGAGTGAGAGGGATAGAATGACACAAGAGGGTATATAAATCTGGGGTGGAAAGTAAGAGGGTGGGGGTCATCCCTGTAATGGTTGGAGGGAGGGGGGTTAAGAAGGCTTTGAAGCAAATACAAAAGTGGACTGTACATCAAAATTATTTTATTTTTTCATCATCTGTATACTACTATTGTAATAAGGGTGTTTTATTGGATTTTCAGAAGGCTTTGAGAAACTGCATACTGAAGAGTATTCAAAAGTTGAAGGCGGTCTCGACACAGTGCGCAAAGATTTCTACAATAACTTTCGTCCAGAAATTATGGTGTGTACCTTATACTTTACAGTTCTTTCATGTGAAATTAGAGATATGCCTCACTGTCTATATTTATTACATTCACTATTTCCTTCTAGTTTGTAGAGTGTCAAGTGGAGGCTTCAGATATTCAGTGTAAACTTTCACAGCACTACAGTCCTCCATTCTGGTACATGCCACACCTTACACTTTCTCTTTCAATACCATTCATGTGAGAAGGCTGGAATATTCCCTCCAGTATATTTTGTCACATACAAGCTCATTAGGTAATAGATTGGTAGAAAGCAGTTGCCCAGGGAGGTACTACCCTCCTTCTAAGTGAGTGTAAAATGGAAGCCTGTAAGTGTTTTACACGATGGTAGGCTTGGCAAGATTTCAGGTACGTCTTGCTACTTCTACTTACACTTAGGTCACACTACACATGCATATACAAGCATATATATACACACCACCCCTCTGGGTTTTCCTCTATTTTCTTCCTAGTTCTTGTTCTTGTTTATTTCCTCTTAACTCCATGGGGAAGTGGAACAGAATTCTTCCTCCATAAGCCGTGCATGTCATAAGAGGCGACTAAAATGCCAGGAACATGGGGCTAGTAACCCCTTCTCCTGTATACATTACCAAAGTTAAAAAGAGGAACTTTTGTTTCTTTTTGGACCACCCTGCCTTGGTGGGATATGGACAGTTTGTTGAAAGAAAGAAGACTTGCAAGCTCACCTCTCATCGCACAAATAACACACACATAAGAGAAAGAAGCTTATGATGACATTTCAATGTGACTTGGACTATTAACTAGTCAGTGTGTGACTGTATTGGCAGTGAATTACTAATGCTTCCTATTTCCTATAATTTCAGAAAAAATATACTACTCTGTTATTTATCTTTTTTTCCAAATTCAAAAAGTGCATGGAATTTTTTTTGTCAGTTTTATTTCAATCATAATTTGTAAAAATATCAATGAGTGTGTCCTTCCATTTTGTTAATTTTTTTAGGATGCCCTGTAGAGAGAGACTACATAAAGTACAGTATAGTTTCTCTACTCCATCCTTCAGGAAGGGGGGGGGGGTTGCCTTGATACTTGTGAAGGGCTCTTTTTCTAAGGAATTAGAGTTACCCTGTCCTTCCTTGGGTCAAACTTGATTGTCTCCCTTTCCCCAGGCACTGTGTGACCCCTGTAGGTTGAGCAAGACAGTGATGGGGTGAGTGATGGTAAAAGTATTTCTTCTTTTTCAGGTCACCCTGCCTCAGTGGGAAATGGCCAGTGTGTTAAAAAAAAAAAATCACTGGTTCATTTTTTAGGCAGTACCTTGAGCATACCTCATCATTTACTTGACATTTAAAACATTTACTTAGTCATAGTATAAAGTTTCTTTTAAAAACTGAGTGCTAGTTCCAGTGTGCAGTTTAAATTGTGCAAATTTTTGTTCTTAGACATCATTGATAAACAGTGTATCCTGAACCAGTCTTTCATTGCTTCCATTACAGTGGCAGCCAGCTTTGGATATTGGGCCATCAAGTACCATTTTGCAGCAAGATGGTGTAAGTAATTATGTCTTTGTAATTACAGCCTCTCCTCACTTAACGATGTAGTTCCGTTCCTAAGATCACGTTGGTAAACAAATTCGTCGCTGAGTGAGGAGCATACTTTAATGGTAGTGGGTTTGTGTCTACCATCTTTCATATTGTTTTAATATCTGGTATTTTTTTAAATGTTTATACAGCAGTAATAAACAGAATAGAGGAAATCAGCACTAATAGACATTATTTACATATGCATACTGGTCAGAGAGCCCATCGTAAGTCCGAGTTGTCGGTAAACGAGTACGTCGCTAAGTGAGGTGAGACTGTACTTATTTTAGTATGTAGGGGTGAACTCCAGTTCTTGGTCCTGGCCTTTAAGTTTAATGTGAGTGATGTGGTTGTGTACAGTACATCACTTCAGATACATATTTTCTTGAGACTTGATCAAGTACTCCAAATTGTACCTTCTTGCTTTCTTTAAGGGAAATTTTGAGAGGAAATAGAAACAATTTGATGTTGTGTAACTAATATACAAACTTTCTTATTATGTTAACTGTTAGCTTGTGATTTATCCATGTACATTTATACTCGGTTAAATAAGTGTGCAAACCTGACATCAGGTTCCTTATTAGGAAGTTGTTTTCTGAGTATGAGTAAATTCCATGCAGTATATTTTGATCACCTGTTAGTGTAAGTTTGTTTTTGTTTTGTTTTATTTTAAGACAGCTGCTCTTCATTTACAGACTGGAGAGGTTATTGCAGAGCCTTCTGTCTTCGTACCAAATGAGAACTTACCTCCAGTTGGGCCCTTGAACCGATGGGAGCTACAACCAAATGAGCTTGTGTATTCAATGAAATATTCCCTCTTCGCTCGCTGGGTGCAGGCACAGGTCATTGAAGTGGAAAGACGAGAACCCAAGGTTGATATTATTCATCTTTCTTTCATTTTTGACTTAGTGTTTTACATCTAAGTGTTAGAATTAATTTTCTGTGAAAACTTCTTGGACTTGACTCACTTAAGTCTTTCCATTTATGTGCCATAGTACAGGTAGATTTTGTCTAGGGGAATCTCCTCAGATTGTATTAAGAGGTTAAGAGAGTGGTGAAGCAATGTAAAAAGAGAGCAAATGAGAGAGTGGGTGAGATGTTATCAACAAATTTTGTTGAAAATAAGAAAAAGTTTTGGAGTGAGATTAACAAGTTAAGGAAGCCTAGAGAACAAATGGATTTGTCAGTTAAAAATAGGAGAGGAGAGTTATTAAATGGAGAGTTAGAGGTATTGGGAAGATGGAGGGAATATTTTGAGGAATTGTTAAATGTTGATGAAGATAGGGAAGCTGTGATTTCGTGTATAGGGCAAGGAGGAATAACATCTTGTAGGAGTGAGGAAGAGCCAGTTGTGAGTGCGGAGGAAGTTCGTGAGACAGTAGGTAAAATGAAAGGGGGTAAGGCAGCCGGGATTGATGGGATAAAGATAGAAATGTTAAAAGCAGGTGGGGATATAGTTTTGGAGTGGTTGGTGCAATTATTTAATAAATGTATGGAAGAGGGTAAGGTACCTAAGGATTGGCAGAGAGCATGAATAGTTCCTTTGTATAAAGGGAAAGGGGACAAAAGAGAGTGCAAAAATTATAGGGGGATAAGTCTGTTGAGTATACCTGGTAAAGTGTATGGTAGAGTTATTATTGAAGGAATTAAGAGTAAGACGGAGAATAGGATAGCAGATGAACAAGGAGGCTTTAGGAAAGGTAGGGGGTGTGTGGATCAGGTGTTTACAGTGAAACATATAAGTGAACAGTATTTAGATAAGGCTAAAGAGGTCTTTGTGGCATTTATGGATTTGGAAAAGGCGTATGACAGGGTGGATAGGGGGGGCAATGTGGCAGATGTTGCATGTGTATGGTGTAGGAGGTAGGTTACTGAAAGCAGTGAAGAGTTTTTACAAGGATAGTGAGGCTCAAGTTAGAGTATGTAGGAAAAAGGGAAATTATTTCACAGTAAAAGTAGGCCTTAGACAAGGATGTGTGATGTCACCGTGGTTGTTTAATATATTTATAGATGGGGTTGTAAGAGAAGTAAATGCGAGGGTCTTGGCAAGAGGCGTGGAGTTAAAAGATAAAGAATCACACATAAAGTGGGAGTTGTCACAGTTGCTCTTTGCTGATGACACTGTGCTCTTGGGAGATTCTGAAGAGAAGTTGCAGAGATTGGTGGATGAATTTGGTAGGGTATGCAAAAGAAGAAAATTAAAAGTGAATGCAGGAAAGAGTAAGGTTATGAGGATAACAAAAAGATTAGGTGATGAAAGATTGGATATCAGATTGGAGGGAGAGAGTATGGAGGAGGTGAATGTATTCAGATATTTGGGAGTGGACGTGTCAGCAGATGGGTCTATGAAAGATGAGGTGAATCATAGAATTGATGAGGGGAAAAGGGTGAGTGGTGCACTTAGGAGTCTGTGGAGACAAAGAACTTTGTCCTTGGAGGCAAAGAGGGGAATGTATGAGAGTATAGTTTTACCAACACTCTTATATGGGTGTGAAGCATGGGTGATGAATGTTGCAGCGAGGAGAAGGTTGGAGGCAGTGGAGATGTCATGTCTGAGGGCAATGTGTGGTGTGAATATAATGCAGACAATTCGTGGTTTGGAAGTTAGGAGGAGGTGCGGGATTACCAAAACTGTTGTCCAGAGGGCTGAGGAAGGGTTGTTGATGTGGTTCGGACATGTAGAGAGAATGGAGCGAAACAGAATGACTTCAAGAGTGTATCAGTCTGTAGTGGAAGGAAGGCAGGGTAGGGGTCGGCCTAGGAAAGGCTGGAGGGAGGGGGTAAAGGAGGTTTTGTGTGCGAGGGGCTTGGACTTCAAGCAGGCATGCGTGAGCGTGTTTGATAGGAGTGAATGGAGACAAATGGTTTTTAATACTTGACGTGCTGTTGGAGTGTGAGCAAAGTAACATTTATGAAGGGATTCAGGGAAACCGGCAGGCCGGACTTGAGTCCTGGAGATGGGAAGTACAGTGCCTGCACTCTGAAGGAGGGGTGTTAATGTTGCAGTTTAAAAACTGTAGTGTAAAGCACCCTTCTGGCAAGACAGTGATGGAGTGAATGATGGTGAAAGTTTTTCTTTTTCGGGCCACCCTGCCTTGGTGGGAATCGGCCAGTGTGATAATAATAATAATAAAAAAAAATTTTGATGAGCCATATTTAATTTTTCAAAAGGTGTTGCTTTTAATTATATTTTTATTTTATTTCAGTGAAGTCCTTATCTGGCTCTGGCATTTTATATGGCAAGCTATACATATATTTTCTTTTCAGAACACAACTTACAAAATTCGGTACAATCGCAATGCCAAAGGCTCAGGGCTTCCTCGAATCATGCCAGGACGCCAGCTAGCATATATTAATCCATGTGCTACACGTATTCCAGTTGGTACTCGTGTTATAGCGAAGTACAGAGATGATGACCCCAAAAATACTACAATTTCTGGCTCCTTTTACGTGGGTGTGGTAGCAGAGATTCCTACTGCAGCCAACAAATATAGGTAGCCTTTTCCAATACAATTATTGTTATTTTTATTACATTCATGGAATAGTGCTAAACCTGTAGGGGTCATTTGGCACCTAGGGGAATAGCAGATAGTCAGGTTTGATCCAAGGAATTGAAGAGTAATTCCTATTTCTTGGATAAGTAACCTTCACTGGCATCGAGATGCTTCTACCTATCTCCCTTCCCTGAAAATATAATTTTTGCAATATAAGCTTTGCCTGGCTTTATAGAAATGTTTGAGAGTTGATTACAAAGGTACAGCACTAGTATCTAGAGTCACACAAGTTGTGGTGCCTTCAACATCACATACCCGAACAATGTGTGAAATTTTTCAAACAAGCCTGTATTGGTACACTGACAGCATTTTAATTTCTCCTGTGTGCAGAATCAGTTTGTGTGTGTGTGTGTGTGTGTGTGTGTGTGTGTGTGTGTGTGTGTGTGTGTGTGTGTGTGTGTGTGAGTGTGTGTGTGAGTGTGAGTGTGTGTGAGTGTGAGTGAGTGTGTGTGTGAGTGAGTGTGTGTGAGTGTGAGAGTGTGTGAGTGTGAGTGAGTGTGTGTGAGTGAGTGTGGGTGTGAGTGTGAGAGTGTGAGGTGTGAGAGTGAGAGTGGAGAGTGTGGAGAGTGGAGAGTGAGAGTGAGAGAGTGTGAGTGTGAGAGAGTGAGTGTGAGAGTGTGAGAGAGTGAGAGAGTGGAGAGTGTGAGAGGAGTGCGAGGAGAGTGAGAGAGTGAGAGAGTGTGGAGAGTGCGAGAGTGCGAGTGAGAGAGTGTGAGTGTGAGAGTGTGAGGTGTGAGAGTGTGAGGTGAGAGTGTGAGTGTGAGAGTGTGAGGAGAGTGAGTGTGAGAGAGTGAGAGATGTGTGAGAGATGTGAGAGAGTTTGGAGAGTGTGAGAGAGTGAGAGAGTGAGAGAGTGTGAGAGAGTGGAGAGTGAGAGAGTGTGAGAGTGTGAGTGTGAGGACCTCTTTGCTGAACACTTTGCTACCAAAATGCAAGTTCCTGATCCAGCAAGGGACCCTCCTTGGCTAGCTGCAAAAACTGTGTCAAAACTGTCAATGGTGACAGTAAGGCAGGAGGAGGTGTATTTCCTTCTTAAATCACTTGAAAAAAAAAGGCTGTGGCCCAGACAAGTTGGCCCAAGTTGCTGAAAAGAGGGGCAGACCAGCTAGCAGACCTCTAACTCGCATCTTTCAGCACTGCCTGTACAGTGAAAAATGGCCCTCTCATGGAAAGAGTCAAATGTAGCCCCGTTCCAAAAAAAAAAGCAGAGCAAAAATCGAATACAGACCAGTGCACTCCTGTCAATCACTGGTAAATCCTTGAGACAATAATCTCAAGACAAATGACAGATTTTTTTGACTCCCAAATCACTCTTTGGATTTTAAATATGGCTTCGGGAAAAGGTTACTCTGTCTGCTCTGTTGTTAAAACCTCCCACTAAGTGGCACCGCACGGGGATGAACCCAAAAGTCAGCTGTGGGTAGCCCTGGACTTGCGGGCCCTTTTCCCGACCTGGGTGGCACCAGGGCCCCTTAGCAAAACTTCAAGCACTGGGAATGTAGTTTTTACGCTATGTCTCTCAGTGTTTTTCCTGCATGGTAATCTCTAAGTTAGTTCTAAAGGAACGGAATCAGCAAGACATCCTATTGGGGGGAAGTGTTCCACAAGGAAACGTGCTGGGATCATTGTTAGGGGAAGTCTACTTCAACGACCTTCTTATCTCATCCCCGAATCCCTGCTATGCAACGATGTACACTGACATTTACTTATCCAAAAAGAAAAATGCCGTGTCAAAACTACATCAAACACCAGCTGGAAACTATATCGCTTGGGGGAAAAAGAGGCAAGTAACATTTGCCCGGGGGAAAAAAGCAAAATTTATCTCTCTAGGCACCATGATGGTAATGCTGGTGCAGTAGTAAGGATAAAGAGGGGTTTGGCACCTGGAAAGAAGTTGATATCCTTTGGGGTGAAGTTTGACTCCAAACTAACCCGAAGAACCATGTTGAAAAACTTGCAAAACAAAGGGAGCCCGGAAGCTTACGGCACTTTTGCCATTTCGCATCTGCTTGACAGTAGGGTTTTTAAAATTCTGTATGAGGCAAAGTAGCTCACACCTTGAGTATGCTCCACTTTCTTTGGTTTGCCCCGCCCCCCCCCCTTCTGCACTGCTTTACAGAGTAGAGAAACCCCTTTCCTGTCAAGAGTAAAATGACGATTGATGATCTGTCATTTCAGCAGAGCCTTCAAAATAGGAGGGTGTGGTGGCCTTACTGTTAGTACAAGGCCCGTTGTCAAAGGTCCACACTTGGATCCACTCCGAGGACAGCCTGAAAAAAAGCTTTTTGCCACAAGAGGGAGAAAAGCAGCAATTTACTCTGGGTGTACCCTTCTCCGAACATCACTCCATTTAATCATATATACCCAGGGTGACTCGAGTATGGAACACATTTGTACAGATAATGATGTCAACGAGATAAAGTCAGTTGATCAAATGAAAACTGGCCCACGATGGCTCCAACTTCATCCTTTTTCCCATTTGTATGCCCTAACAAAAAAAAAATGTTTTAAATGACTGATGTAGGTAACAGCTTTTAGCTTCCCAATAAAGTTTGGGGAAACCTTAAACCCGTAAATACTTGTCAATAAAGCTAGGGGTCCTTAAACCCTTTTCAAACCCTGTGTAAAAAAAAAAGAGAGAGGAGAGAGAGAGATAGAGAGAGATGAGAGAGAGTAGGAGAGAGATAGGTTTTAAAATAGATAGAGATATGTATATATAGATATAGATAATATATTGATTGATGATTTCAATTCTAGGAAAAGCTGTACTTTCATATAAATTTCCTGCCCTTGAATGTCTGTGCACACACCAAAAATTTAAAATTGTGTGAAAAGCGAAAAAAAAAAATACTTTCCTAAATAGGAAACTTTTCCTGGTTTCTGGAAGGGTTTTTGATGCACTGTGTGCGTATATTTTTTCACTTGGGTTGAGTATTTTTTCAGAAGGAATAACCCGCATGGTAGGTAGGTCACATATGAAATTCAAATTTTTTTAAATTGTCCGAGGGAAACTTTTAAAGAGGAGTGAATGGAAAAGGGTCTTGAGGATTTTTTTCAGTAAGGAGAGGTTCTCCTTCTAGTGTATATGACCCCTTGTGGATTCATGTTTCAAATGTTCAATCATACTGTCTTCCTTTTTATTGCTCTCCCTTTTAAAAATGGAGAGTATAAAAGATTTAGAAAAGAAAAATTGGATACAAAAATTGGGGAGGAGGAGTATGGAAGAAGTGAATATTTTTCGATAGGGGGATTACGTGTCAGCGGATGGATTTATGAAGGATGAGGTTAATCATAGAATTGATGAAGGAAAAAAGGTGAGTGGTGCATTGAGGTATATGTGGAGGCAAAAAATGTTATCTATGGAGGCAAAGAAGGGAATGTATGAAAGTATAGTAGTACCAACACTCTTATATGGGTGTGAAGCTTGGGTTGTAAATGCAGCAGCGAGGAGGCGGTTGGAGGCAGTGGAGATGTCCTGTCTAAGGGCAATGTGTGGTGTAAATATTATGCAGAAAATTCAGAGTGTGGAAATTAGGAGAAGGTGTGGAGTTAATAAAAGTATTAGTCAGAGGGCTGAAGAGGGTTTGTTGAGGTGGTTTGGTCATTTAGAGAGAATGGATCAAAGTAGAATGACATGGAGAGCGTATAAATCTGTAGGGGAAGGAAGACGGGGTAGGGGTTGTCCTCGAAAAGGTTGGACGGAGGGGGTAAAGGAAGTGTTGTGGGCGAGGGGTTTGGACTTCCAGCAAGCGTGCGTGAGCTTGTTAGATAGGAGTGAATGGAGACAAATGATATCTGGGACCTGATGAGCTGCTGGAGTGTGAGCAGGGTAATATTTAGTGAAGGGATTCAGGGAAACCGGTTATTTTATGTAACCAGACTGGAAATTGGAAGTACAATGCCTGCACTCTAAAGGAGGGGTTTGAGATATTGGCAGTTTGGAGGGATATATTGTGTATTTTTATACGTATATACATGAACTTCTAAACTGTTGTATTCTGGGCACCTCTGCAAAAACAGTGATTATGTGGTGAAAGTGTTGAATGATGATGAAAGTATTTTCTTTGTAAGGATTTTCTTTCTTTTTGGGTCACCCTGCCTCGGTGGGAGAAGGCCGACTTGTTGAAAAAAAAAAAAAAAATTCTTTGGTTTTGCTTTCGTCTAATTTCTTAGATCTTTTGCAAAATCTATTTGTAGAAGTGAGGGGTGATGATTCCTAGAACCATAAAAGAAAACAGCCTACATTAGTGTTGCTCAAGAAATCTGTATGCAAATGGTAAACTTTTTCAGCCATTATGTACAACTATTCTTGTTTTAGCACTCTGTCATGTTTGTCACTATTGATCGTTTTGTTTAATATCTTTATTGTTTGCCCATACCCATCTTGTGGGAGATAGTCAAAAGATTACAGGGTACATAATGGGTCCAGGGACTGGGCCACAAAGTTTTGATAGCTGAACAAGTTACAGTCAGTATTGAGTACATAAAAGCCTGCATAATTCACAAATTATATTAACCCTTTGACTGTTTCGGTCGTATATATACGTCTTACATATACTGTGGACCCCCGCATACCGTTGGTATCACATAACGTTAAATCCGCATAGCGATACATTTTATCACTAAAGCCTCGCATAGCGCTAAAAAACTCGCTCAACGCTATTCGCCCGAGACGCGTCTATGTGAGGCCTGAGCCAGCCTCACATGTTCCGCCGGTGGCAATGTTTACAAGCCAGCCTCTGCGGTAACATCCAAGCACACAATCGGAGCATTTCGTATTATTACAGCATTTTTGGTGATTTTATCTGCAAAATAAGTGACCATGGGCCCCAAGAAAGCTTCTAGTGCCAACCCTGTGGTAAAAAGGGTGAGAAATATTATCGAAATACTGTGGTACCATGGTCAACTGCTGATGCTGCTGCTGCTGTAGCACTGTCAGCTGCTGCTGCTGCTGTACCACCGTCAGCTGCTGCTGCTGCTGCTGTAGTACCGTCTGCTGCTGCTGTAGCACTGTCTGCTGCTGCTGTAGCACTGTCAGCTGCTGCTGCTTCTGCTGCTGTAGCACTGTCAGCTGCTGCTGCTGCTGTAGCACCGTCAGCTGCTGCCGCTGCTGTAGTACCGTCTGCTGCTGCTGTAGCACCGTCTGCTGCTGCTGTAGCACTGTCAGCTGCTGCTGTAGCACTGTCAGCTGCTGCTGCTGCTGCACTGTCAGCTGCTGCTGCTGTAGCACTGTCAGCTGCTGCTGCTGCTGTAGCACCGTCAGCTGCTGCTGCTGCTGTACCACCGTCAGCTGCTGCTGCTGCTGCTGTAGTACCGTCTGCTGCTGCTGTAGCACCGTCTGCTGCTGCTGTAGCACCGTTGTTGGTGTGACTTATTGAGAATACCAAGAAACAATTAACCCCAGAGGGTTAGCCACCCAGGATAACCCAAAAAAGTCAGTGTCATCGAAGACTGTAACTTATTTCCATTGGGGTCCTTGATCTTGTCTCCCAGGATGCAACCCACACCAGTCGACTAACACCCAGGTGAACAGGGAAAAATGCCTGGAACTAGTGCTCATATTGGTGAATTTAAAGCCAGCAAAGGTTGGTTTGAGAGATTTAAGAATCGTAGTGGCATACACAGTGTGATAAGGCCTGTTCTGGAAGAAAATGCTAAACAGGACCTACAGTACTCAGGAGGAAAAGGCACTCCCAGGACACAGTGTCTCATCAGTCATTGCTGCATCTTCAATAAAGGTAAGTGTCATTTATTCTTCATTTAGTAGAGTAGTACATGCACAATATATATTGTGCATGTACTACTCTACTATTGTGCATGTATCCTTCTCTTTGTGTGTAGGAAAATGTATATTTCATGTGGTAAAAATTTTTTTTTCATACTTTTGGGTGTCTTGCACGGATTAATTTGATTTCCATTATTTCTTATGGGGAAAATTCATTCGCATAACGATAATTTCGCATAACAATGAGCTCTCAGGAACGGATTAATATCGTTATGCGGGGGTCCACTGTATATACATACTCAAAAATTCTAGCAGCTTCAAATCAAGCAGGAGAAAGCTGGTAGGCCCACATGTGAGAGAATGGGTCTGTGTGGTCAGTGTGCACCATATAAAAAAAATCCTGCAGCACGCAGTGCATAATAAGAAAAAAAAAATCCGATTTTTTTTTTTTTGGATTAAAACGCCAACTTTGTGGTGTATTTTTGTATAGTATTTATGGTTACATTCTCGTTTTCTTGGTCTCATTTGATAGAATGGAAAACATACTATAGAAATAGAGGTGATTTTGGTTAGTTTTACTATGAAAAGAACCTTGAAATGGAGCTCAAAGTAGGGGAAATGTTTGATTTTTGCCGATGTTCAAAAGTAAACAAATGATGTCATTGTCCAATAAATGTCCAACTAGCCATTCTAATATGCAGTCATGAATGGGTTGACATTATTTATACAATTATTACAATATTGCAGTAGTCTGCATAACAGTAAATAAATAAAAATTCAAAATAGAAAGCAAGAGTAATATCAGAGGGGCCTGGAGACATGACTGATGAACAATGAAAATGTTATTTAAGAGCCAGGAATGTTTGCATAGTTCATTCTGGACCCTATTTTAAAATTGGCATATTTTATAATTTGCGTGAAATTGGCCAAATTCCAAATTTCTGACCACATTATTGGGTAGTTGAAAGTAGTAAATGGGGAGTTTCTTGTACTCAGTCGATAGAACAAGCTATGAGTTTGGTCGAATGGAACAATGGAATTAGCCGAAAATAAGGCTCAAAGTGGGCGAAATCGCTGATTCGTAAATATCGCTGAGGTCGCTAACTTCGCGAGAGCGTAATTCCATAAGTTTCCCATCAAATTTCATATTTTTGGTGTCATTACCATCGGGAAAAGATTCTCTGTCATTTCATAAGAAACTTTTTAATTTTTAACACCAGAAGACACCTCAGGATTTGGGGTTTTGACATTCAAAGGGTTAAAAATGAACTTATGCAAGGTAACTAATAAATTGTCTATTTGAACAACATATGTGGTAACACATCATTATACCAGTGATGAAAACAAAGGAGTTTGAATCAGTGTTCATTTGTGGAAAAAGACTTATGTACAACTCAGGACATTTATTAGAGGAAACATAATTACAAGTATAATGTTGCCATTACTGCACCAAATGACTGCCATATTTTACGGCAGACAAGATGCTCTAGTGTTGAGGACCTCCCCCCTCTTCCCCAATTCTGATTAGCTAAATGTTTTTGGAAAAAGATAAGTGGTACTTCAGCCTCAAAGACGCTGGGTAAATGTTTGAGATTACATGTATTTTAGGAAAAAATAGCGTCTTCGATGCCATAAAATACGGTACTTGTTCTCTCTTCTGTGTTAAATAGGGCAATTCATGGATCATTTACTGGGCTAACTCATAAGTTTGAGCTGAGTCTGATAAATGGGCATTCTTTTTAATTCCAAAAAAATCAGGGATTGCAAAATATAGTTAATTTCCTTGAAGAAAGTAATTTTTAAAGTATTTAACATGACTAATTATCTAAATTGTAACTTTCAGACTTTTTCCATATTTAGTAGTACAGTATTGATTATTCTCTATACATATCTTAGGTAAAATTAATAAAATGACAGATGAAAACTGGTATAACATCATTTGCTTAGTTGGTACCTTGATTTAATGTGTAGTAAATGTGGGAAAAAATTGGCTTCGATAATTTGAGGTGTGAAAGGTTACGCTGGAAGTCAGATGAGAAGACTAGGAAAAAGTACCTGAATTGCATGATGCATTTTATGGAGGAGTATGCTATTCAGTAGCTGTATCTTTAGTTTTGTTTGGTCCCTTCTCCTTTATGTACCAAAACAGCATGTGAGAAAGCCAGGCATATGTAAAATCAATATAATTTTACTTTTTTTGCAGATACCTCATCTTTTTCGATGACGGATATGCCCAGTATGTGCTTCATCATGATATCCGTGTTGTCACAGAAAGTTCTGTTTGTCCATGGGAGGATGTGTCCTCTGACTCTCGGGAATTCATCAAAGAGTATTTGCAGATGTACCCAGAGAGACCAATGGTGCGCCTTCAGAAGTGGAATTATGTCAAAACAGAATGGAATGGTTTGTAGCTTATATATTGTTCATTGTTTTCGTTTATTACTGTGCTCTTGAATTATATAGAGGATTCAGGGAAACCGGTTATTTTTATATAGCCAGACTTGAGTACTGGAAATGGGAAGTACAATGCCTGCACTTTAAAGGAGGGGTTTGGGATATTGGCAGTTTGGAGGGATATGTTGTGTATCTTTATACGTATATGCTTCTAAACTGTTGTATTCTGAGCACCTCTGTAAAAACAGTGATAATGTGTGAGTGTGGTGAAAGTGTTGAATGATGATGAAAGTATTTTCTTTTTGGGGATTTTCTTTCTTTTTGGGTCACCCTGCCTCGGTGGGAGACGGCCGACTTGTTGAAAAAAAAAAAAAAAAACATATCCCTCCAAACAGCCAATATCCCAAACCCCTCCTTTAAAGTGCAGGCATTGTACTTCCCATTTCCAGGACTCAAGTCCGACTATATGAAAATAACCGGTTTCCCTGAATCCCTTCACTAAATATTACCCTGCTCACACTCCAACAGATCGTCAGGTCCCAAGTACCATTCGTCTCCATTCACTCCTATCTAACACACTCACGCACGCTTGCTGGAAGTCCAAGCCCCTCGCCCACAAAACCTCCTTTACCCCCTCTCTCCAACCCTTTCGAGGACGACCCCTACCCCGCCTTCCTTCCCCTATAGATTTATATGCTTTCCATGTCATTCTACTTTGATCCATTCTCTCTAAATGACCAAACCACCTCAACAACCCCTCTTCTGCCCTCTGACTAATACTTTTATTAACTCCACACCTTTTCCTAATTTCCACACTCCGAATTTTCTGCATAATATTTACACCACACATTGCCCTTAGACAGGACATCTCCACTGCCTCCAACCGTCTCCTCGCTGCTGCATTTACCATCCAAGCTTCACATCCATATAAGAGTGTTGGTACTACTATACTTTCATACATTCCCTTCTTTGCCTCCATAGATAACGTTTTTTGACTCCACATATACCTCAACGCACCACTCACCTTTTTTCCCTCATCAATTCTATGATTAACCTTATCCTTCATAAATCCATCCGCCGACACGTCAACTCCCAAGTATCAGAAAACATTCACTTCTTCCATACTCCTCCTCCCCAATTTGATATCCAATTTTTCTTTATCTAAATCATTTGATACCCTCATCACCTTACTCTTTTCTATGTTCACTTTCAACTTTCTACCTTTACACACATTCCCAAACACATCCACTAGCCTTTGCAATTTTTCTTCAGAATCTCCCTTAAGCACAGTATCATCAGCAAAAAGTAACTGTGTCAATTCCCATTTTGAATTTGATTCTCCATAAATTAATCTCACCCCTCTCTCGAACACCCTAGCATTTACTTCTTTTACAACCCCATCTATAAATATATTAAACAACAATGGTGACATTACACATCCCTGTCTAAGACCTACTTTTACCAGGAAGTATTCTCCCTCTCTTCTACACACCCTAACCTGAGCCTCACTTTCCTCATAAAAACTCTTTACAGCATTTAGTAACTTACCACCTATTCCATATACATACTTGCAACATCTGCCACATTGCTCCTCTATCCACTCTATCATATGTCTTTTCTAAATCCATAAATGCAATAAAAACTTCCCTACCTTTATCTAAATACTGTTCACATATATGCTTCAATGTAAAGACTTGATCTACACATCCCTTACCCACTCTGAAACCTCCTTGCTCATCCGCAATCCTACACTCTGTCTTACCTCTAATTCTTTCAATTATAACCCTACCGTATACTTTTCCTGGTATACTCAGTAAACTTATTCCTCTATAATTTTTACAATCTCTTTTGTCCTCTTTCCCTTTATATAAAGGGACTATACATGCTCTCTGCCAATCCCTAGGTACCTTCCCCTCTTTCATACATTTATTAAACAAAAGTACCAACCACTCCAACACTATATCCCCCCTGCTTTTAACATTTCTGTCATGATCCCATCAGTTCCAGCTGCTTTACCCCCTTCATTCTACGTAATGCCTCACGTACCTTCCCCACACTTACATTCTGCTCTTCTTCACTCCTAAAAGATGGTATACCTCCCTGGCCAGTGCATGAAATTACCGCATCCCTTTCTTCCTCAACATTTAAAAGTTCCTCAAAATATTCTCACCATCTACCTAATACCTCCGTCTCCCCATCTACTAACTCCCCTACTCTGTTTTTAACTGACAAATCCATACTTTCCTTAGGCTTTCTTAACTTGTTTAACTCCAAAAATTTTTCTTATTTTCATTAAAATTTCTTGACAGTGCCTCTCCCACTCTATCATCTGCTCTCCTTTTGCACTCTCTCACCACTCTCTTCACCTTTCTTTTACTCTCCATATACTCTGCTTTTCTTATAACGCTTCTGCTTTGTAAAAACCTCTCATAAGCTAACTTTTTCTCTTTTATCACATCCTTTACTTCATCATTCCACTAATCACTCCTCTTTCCTCTTGCCCCCACCCTCCTATAACCACAAACTTCTGCCCCACATTCTAATACTGCATTTTTAAAACTATTCCAACCCTCTTCAACCCCCCCCACTACTCATCTTTGCACTAGCCCACCTTTCTGCCAATAGTCGCTTATATCTCACCCGAACTTCCTCCTCCCTTAGTTTATACACTTTCACCTCCCTCTTACTTGGTGTTGCCACCTTCCTCTTTTCCCATCTACCTCTTACTCTAACTGTAGCTACAACTAAATAATGATCCGATATATCAGTTGCCCCTCTATACACATGTACGTCCTGGAGCCTACCCATCAACCTTTTATCCACCAATACATAATCTAACAAACTACTTTCATTTCGTGCTACATCGTACCTTGTATATTTATTTATCCTCTTTTTCATAAAATATGTATTACTTATTACCAAATCTCTTTCTACACATAGCTCAATTAAAAGCTCCCCATTTACATTTACCCCTGGCACCCCAAATTTACCTACTACTCCCTCCATAACATTTTTACCCACTTTAGCATTGAAATCCCCAACCACCATTACTCTCACACGATTCAAAACTCCCCACGCATTTACTCAACATTTCCCAAAATCTCTCTCTCCTCTACACTTCTCTCTTCTCCAGGTGCATACACGCTTACTATAACCCACTTTTCACATCCAATCTTTATTTTACTCCACATAATCCTTGAATTTATACATTTATAGTCCCTCTTTTCCTACCTTAGCTTATCCTTCAACGTTATTGCTACTCCTTCTTTAGCTCTAACTCTGTTTGAAACCCCTGACCTAATCCCATTTATTCCTCTCCACTGAAACTCTCCCACCCCCTTCAGCTTTGTTTCACTTAAAGCCAGGACATCCAGCTTCTTCTCATTCATAACATCCACAATCATCTCTTTATATATCTTTATATATGCCTTTATATATGTGTATATATGTGTATGCTTCTAAACTGTTGTATTCTGAGCACCTCTGCAAAAACAGTGATAATGTGTGAGTGTGGTGAAAGTGTTGAATGGTGATGAAAGTATTTTCTTTTTGGGGATTTTCTTTCTTTTTTGGGTCACCCTGCCTTGGTGGGAGACGGCCGACTTGTTGAAAAAAAAAAATGCCTCTGAACTGTTGTATCTGGGCGCCTCTGCAAAAACAGTGATTATGTATGAGTGAGATGAAAGTGTTGAATGATGATGAAAGTATTTTCTTTTTGGAGATTTTCTTTCTTTTTGGGTCACCCTGCCTTGGTGGGAGATGGCCGACTTGTTGAAAAAAAAAAAAACAATTTGCTTGTGATGTTTGTAATACTCAACCTAATTTTACGCTTTTCAGTGAGACTAGGACATGTTCATGACTGAAATTTTTTGAACTACTTTTTTATAACTAATGCCAGTTTTGTGTCTAGAAAATTTATTGCTGACATTTGCATAGGGCTTACATACATAAATGTCATTTGAATTGTGATCTCTTTACACTTCTGGCAGAACAGCTGTTGAATGAGCTATGAAGATTGGGATTCCTTCTTTGGGTTACCCCTACCTTGGTAGGAAATGGCCAGTGTAGTAAAAAATAAAATGCATGCTGATATTCTTATTGAAGTGTTATTATGGTGGAATCCTGATCCTTGGGGGTAGTGTGGTACAAGAGCCTTAGAATTTTTGTTTCACATTGGTTCTTCCAGGTGACTGAAAAAGACCATGGTCATTTTTTACCCCATCGGCCATTTCCCACTAAGGGTGATGCATATGAAGATGTTTATTTACCATCTCTCATTAAATAGATGCCATGCCAGACACACATGGGAATCATAGTTCAAAGGCATTTTTTTTTTTAAACATATTAGCTGTCTCCCACTGAGGCAGGGTGATCTGAAAAAGAAGAAACATTTTCATTATCACTTACTCCACCACTGTCTTGCCAGAGGCACACCAATGCTGTAATTCAAAAGCTGCAACATACCTTACGTACTGCAGTATTCCCACATGCTCCAAATAATTATGATGTTAGCCTCTTAAGTTGTAACGTAGAAAATGGGTGATGAAGTGGATGGAAAATCTCTGGTATGTGGGTAACAAGACCATGTTGTTTTCAGACTTATTTTTCTTCCTATTGTTCATTTTTTATTCAATGTTTTCCATAGAGATTTATTAGTTATTGATATTAACCTAGATAATTGTTCACTTACAGGGAGGTGGTGGAAGGCACAGGTGAAAGAAGTTGATGGGTCACTGGTCAAAATGTTTTTCCCCTTGGATGGACGATCTGAGTGGATCTACAGAGGATCAACGCGGTTAAGCCCACTTTTCAACAAAAAGTTAAATATTCAAGCTCAGGCTGAGCAACCTCTCAGGACTATCCGTCGACGTACAGCGGCTCTTCCTGGAAGAGTGAGTTTTAGGAAGATTTTCTTATGGTTTAATGTAAAGTGGAATAAACTTTATGCAGATTTAAATTATGATGTACATATCTGTGATCTGTGAGCAAGGGGCTAGTAACCCCTTCTCCTGTATATATTACTAAATGTAAAAAGGAGTGTGAGCAGGGTAATATTTAGTGAAGAGATTCAGGGACACCGGTTATTTTTACATAGTCGGACTTGAGTCCTGGAAATGGGAAGTACAATGTCTGCACTTTAAAGGAGGGGTTTGAGATATTGGCAGTTTGGAAGGATATGTTGTGTATCTTTATACATATATCTTCTAAACTGTTGTGTTCTGAGCACCTCTGCAAAAACAGTGATTATGTGTGAGTGAGGTGAAAGTGTTGAATGATGATGAAAGTATTTTCTTTTTGGGGATTTTCTTTCTTTTTGGGTCACCCTGCCTCGGTGGGAGACGGCCGACTTGTTAAAAAAAGAGAGAGAAAAAAAGGAGAAACTTTTGTTTTTTCTTCTGGGCCATCCCTGCCTTGATGGGATATGGCCAGTGCATTGAAAGAAAGAAGAAAGATATTTCTTTTTTTTTTTTTTAACACACTGGCCATATCCCACCGAGGCAGGTTGGCCCAAAAAGTAAAACAAATGTTTCTCTTTTTAAATTTAGTAAACTTGATAAGCAACTCCTCTGAAAGCTTATTTCTAAAATTATTTGATAGTTTTATTTTTTTTATTTTTTGTGAAGTGATTATATGTGAGTGAGGTGAAAGTGTTGAATGATGATAAAAGTATTTTCTTTTTGGGGATTTTCTTTCTTTTTGAGTCACCCTGCCTCGGTGGGAGACGGCCGACTTGTTGAAAAAAAAAAAAAAAATTGTTGTACTATGTCCATTTTTACTCCATTGATTAGTCAGTCTGAGGGATTTGTCATCCTTCAGGTGAATTTATTCTAATTTAAAATGGTTCCTCCACTCACAAGGATTTATTGATGTTAAATTTGCTTGCAAATATGAAAAAGCAATTGTTTTTAACAGCAGTTATTTCCAACCAAGATAGTGATCCTAGGAAGGAAGTGCATTTACACAAAGAATTGTGTTTTAATTTCAGGCTGTGGTGGAATATGGAACATTTGGTCAGGGACAAGATGTGGACCCAGGTTTGACTGGTAAGTATGCAGAACCATCTGTCACTGGTAAGTGGATCATATGTGGTTATCTAGTTGTGAGTACCTAGTTGTAGCTGCAGCAACAAGCTGTGCCTGCCGTGCCACGCCCTCGGTTTTTAATTTATCATAAAAGTTAAGTAGTGGAATTATAAAATTTCACATTTTTATTTTGTTTTGCTTTTGAGTTGCTCAGGATTTTGGGATTGCATCTTGTATTTAGTTCAGAATGAGAATTTTATAATTCATAAAGTAAAGCATGTATAATTTTCTTCTTAATTTGAACTCTGAGACCTTGTGAGTGCCAGAGGAGTTAGTTGCATAGGTTCAAGGCCCAGCTTTGGTAGTAAGGTGTTATTAATCTTACAGATTAAACTTGGGGCCCATTTCAAGTCTTATCTCATTAGCCATTGTCCATACTCAAATGGGACCTGGTGCTTTGTCATTAATGACCATCAATTAAAGTTGTAAATAACTATTCCTGAGTACAGTAGAAGCTCACTTAGTGATCCTTCATTGTGTAAATTTTTCACTGCACAGTTTATTAAATGAAACTCAAAATTTCAATGTAAACACCTGATCTACACATCCCTACCCATTCTAAACCCTCCTTGCTCATCTGCAATCCTGCTCTCTTACCTCAAATTCTTTCAGTAATAACCCTACCATACTCTTTACCTGGTATACTCAGTAAACTTATCCCCCTATAATTGTTACAGTCTCTTTTGACCCCCTTTCCTTTATATTAAGGAATTATACTGCTCTCTGCCAATCCCTAGGTACCTTTCCCTCTTTCATACATTTATTACACAAAAACACCAACCACTCCAACACTATATCTCCCCCTCTATATCTCTTTTAACATTTCTGTCATGATTCCATCAATTCCATCTGCTTTGCCCCCTTTCATTCTACGTAATGCCTCACGCACCTTCCCCACACTCACGTCTTGCTCTTTTTCACTCCTAAAAGATGTTATACCTCCCTGGCCAGTGCCTGAAATTACTGCCTCCCTTCATCAACATTTAAAAGTTCCTCAAAATTTTCCCACCATCTACCCAATACTTCCATCTCCCCATCTACTAACTCCCCTACTCTGTTTTTAACGGGCAAATCCATTTGTTCCCTAGGCTTTCTTAATTTGTTTATTTCATCCCAAAATTTTTTCTTATTCTCAACAAAATTTCTTGACAGTGCTTCTCCCACTATCATTTGTTCCCCTTTTATACTCTCTCACCACTCTCTCCACCTTTCTTTTTATCTCTATATACTCTGCCCTTCTTGTATCACTTCTGCTTTGTAAAAACCTCTCATAAGCTACCTTTTCTCTTTTATTGCACCCTTTACCTCATCATTCCACCAATCACTCCTCTTTCCTGCACCCACCCTCCTATAGCCACAAACCTCTGACCCACATTCTAATACTGCATTTTTAAAGCTATCCCATCCCTCTTCATCCTCCCCACTACCCATACTTGCACTGGCCCACCTTTCTGCCAATAGTAATGAGAGTTATATGATAAAATTATTAGTACAGAATGTATGAAGATTGTGCACATATTCACAAGAATTCACTGAATTGTGTTCATAGGGGGCAGAATTTTGGCTCCTTAAATTACAATCACCAGCAGTATTGGTTCCTCTCATCCTGGGTCCTATCTTACCTACTTATGAGACTGTGTAAGAAGTTTACCTCTACTTCTTCCTCAACTGGCTTATTCAACTTGTTTATCATTTTTTTTCAAGAAGTTGGCCATATCCCACCTAGGCAGGGTGACCCAAAAAGAAAGAAAATCCCCAAAACAAAAATACTTTCATCATCATTCAACACTTTCACCTCACTCACACATAATTGCTGTTTTTGCAGAGGTGCCCAGATACAACAGTTTAGAAGCATATATAAAGATACAGCATAAAAAGTGACCTGAAATAATATAATAAACTCCCTATAGAATATAATATCAGGGCCCCAATTATATACATATACCATCCTATTACACATCCCTCCAAATTGCCAGTATCCCAAACCCCTCCTTTAAAGTGCAGGCATTGTACTTCCCATTTCCAGAACTCAAGTCCAACTATATAAAAATAACCGGTTTCCCTGATTTTTTTTTTTTTTTTTTTTTCAACAAGTCGGCCGTCTCCCACCGAGGCAGGGTGACCCAAAAAAGAAAGAAAATCCCCAAAAAGAAAATACTTTCATCATCATTCAACACTTTCACCACACTCGCACATTATCACTGTTTTTGCAGAGGTGCTCAGAATACAACAGTTTAGAAGCATACACATATAAAGATACACAACATATCCCTCCAAACTGCCAATATCCCAAACCCCTCCTTTAAAGTGCAGGCATTGTACTTCCCATATCCGGGACTCAAGTCCGACTTCACTAAATACGTATTACCCTGCTCACTGTGATGTATCCTATGTACCTATTGTCAGATTGCCACATTACCTAACTTGTCTGCCAGAAGAAGGTAATTTATACAATACTGTACTTGCAAACTGCTTCTTTGGGATAGGGGTTAATTTCAAGAATTTTGTAATCTGATCCGTTTTTTATGTGTCATGTGCTTCACATCACAAATTTAAGTTGCTTGATTATTATCAGAAACAAATGCAACACTAAGTGAGATTTTACTATACAAAGAATTCAAGTGTGCTTCTGTAAAACCTACATCAGTGTACTTAATAAAAAAGAATGTGTATTCTCTTCTTCCATTTTGTTCATGGCATTTATTTATAGATTTTGTACGTAATTTAATCAATCTCTCAATCTTTCTTTCTCTTGCTTCTTCTGATTCTTTCTCTTGCTTCCTCTGATTCTTTCTATCTCTTACTTTGTCTCTTTTTCAATATCACCCACTTTCTTGCTTATCTTTCTTTCTCTTTATCTCCCTCCCTCCCTCTTTCCCTCCTTTTTTCCCTCTCTCCCTTCCTTCCCTCCTCTTTCCCTTCCCAGGCCACTTGTTAGAATTCAGTATTATCAAACTTGCTCCGAAACTTGTTAAAGAAGGGTATTATGGCTGTTACTTAAGATTAGCATTTTCCACCCAAGTGTTGAAAGAAACATAAAACAGCATAGTGATGAGCAGGGCTAAGTGGGAAAACACTAATAAGCAGTGAATGAATTTGTAATCATTTGGCCACTCATATGAAGCACTATTCCTGGTCTTTGAAGCATCTAAAGTTCAGATGCTTCATAGACTGGCAGGAAAAATCCAGTATGCTTAGATTCTAAACATTCAGAATTATTTTTTTTACTCGGCCTACCTTGGTGGATAAAAAAAGAACATGACAGTAAAAAGAACAGGCTCGTATTCATTGCCTGTGATGAAGTACCGTATAATTATGTATGTTGCCAGGAGCAAAGAGCTAGTAACCCCTTCTGGATAAATTACTAAATTTACAAAAGGAAAAACTTTCGTTTTTCTTTTTAGGTCACCCTGCCTCGGTGGGATACGGCCGGTGTGTTAAAAAAATGTGATTAATCCCACACTAATTATGTCTGTATAATGTGGTAATGAAGCATTCACAAGAGTGCAGGAGGGTTCTTGGCTGACAACCTTCCAAAGCTCAAACATCCACGCTCGCAAATGGGGTTCTTGGGTTTCTATTAATCTTTTATATCTGTTGTTTGTACTGTTGCTTTGAAGCAGACAACTCATTTGTAAGCTAAAAGAAAAATAGTTCTTTCTGTAGCTGTATGACCCATGTGGGTTTAGTGCTTAGTTATGATTATAATAATAATAATAATTATAACTTTTTGTAAGCTGTCAATCTTTTGTACTTCAAAAGCTTCATACACCATTAATGATTATATACTTCACGTGAGTTATACTTCATGTGAATTATACTTCACATGAATAAAACCTTATATAGCTAAGTGTCATTTTTACTGTCTTTTACTTGTGTATTCCTTCAACACATTTTGGTCCTTTATGTGAGAATAGTGCCCCAGCCAGTGACCTGGAGATGTAGTGGTGATGGGGTACTGCTGATGGGGCATTGCTTATGAATGTTGTGATGATGGGTGTTGTGGTGATGGGTGTTCTGGTGATGGATGCTGTGGTGAGTTGTAGTGATGGAGTTGTAGTGATGGGTGTTGTGGTGATGGGTGTTGTGGTGATGGGTGTTATGGTGGAGTTGTCACCGGTGTTGTGGTGGGACTGTGGTGATGGGAATCATGTAGTGGACCAGTGTCAAGGAAGTTTTGACAAAAGTTTTGCGCTATGTGTTCTCATTATTATTCACAAAATTTGACACACATTTTCAGTTGAACATACACAAGATTTTCACCTTTTAGAATGCCATTTTAATGAAGATTTGATTCAATCTTCATCTTCAATTTTTCTGCATCCCGTTTTGATTTTCTTCCTAAGACGGTAGTGTTTTTTTTTTTTCATGCACTCCTGTCTTGAATTGAACAATGACTACATCACTTAGAGCAACCAGATTTCTGGTGCAGATGTTGTAAACACTACTGAAGATAGTTGAAACACATCATAACCAACAAGCTTTAGAAAGATGTACAGCAAAAAGAGACCTGTGTTAATATGACTTTTCACCTTGATAAAGCCTCATGTAGCAAAAATGTTTGTAATAAAGGTCTTTTGCTGTATGTGTTTTTTTACCACTTGTACAAAACTATGTTCCTTGAAGGTGCACTATAAATGACTGGAAAGGTAAATCCTGTTTGGGTTAAAAATGAAATGTGTGGAAAGGATCTGTTTATTTAAGTCTCACTGCTCCTCATCTGTTGCAGAGAATGTGATCTTTCCCAGTCTGTTTTATTTCCCATCCATGTGCGATTTACCTTCTCATTGATCAGCATTTGTGACACTTTTATCAGAGCATAACTGTAAAAGATTGAGACCATTTCTACCCCCAAAATAAAAAAAATATATTTATTTTAATTGTTATATTTTTGCTACATCTCCAGAAACCCCCGGCGAGCGCAGGGCTGTTGCCCGTAAGAGCACATCGTCTAGACCGGGCACTCCACCGAGAGATGTGCAACTCAAAGTTGAACAAGAGTCTAAGGGCTTCACAAATGTAAGATGAAAATCAGAATATTATTAGTGGTATTCTTTTTTTGAAGATATCAAGATTGCAAATGTGAATTGTTGAGTTTATAAAAACTGAAATACTGTACAGTACTTGATGACAGATATTTTCTTCTTTCTTAAAGTGTGTTACAGACTGACTTAATATGATCATTGTAGTTTGGGTAAACATCAGGGCAGAGCCAGATCAGAAATTATTTCTTCTTTAGAATGTGTATTAAAAAAAAATTATATATAACTGTACATTGCATTTATTCAGTATTCTTCTTCTGTTATATAATTTAATAGCTGGTAGAGACCTTTTATGTATGAAGACTGTTTAAATACAGTGGAACCTTGGTTTTCATCTTTAATTCGTTCCAGAGAGTCTGACGAAAATAAAATTCAATGAAAACTGAAGCAATATTTCCCATAAGAATTAATGTAAATCCAATTAATCCATTCTAGACACCCAAAAATATTAACAAAAAATGCATTTTATAGAGAATAACTATAGTTTTACATACAGAAAACAATGAGGAATATAGAGCACTAATGAAATGGATAAATGAACATTTAACATCGCTTTTACCTTTATTGAAGATTTGTTGGCATATAGAAGACAGCAAGGAGGGGAGAGGGAGGAGGAGTTATCTCTATCACCATCACTACCATCCTCTACCACAATGACTACCACCATCACAATCACTATCACCCTCTACCACCATCACTACCACCCTCTACCACCATCACTACCACCCTCTACCACTACCACCCTCTATCACCATCACTACCACCCTCTACCACCATCACTACCACCCTCTACCACCATCACTACCACCCTCTACCACCATCACTACCACCCTCTACCACTATCACTACCACCCTCTACCACCATCACTACCACCCTCTACCACATCACTACCACCCTCTACCACCATCACTACACCCTTACCACCATCACTACCACCCTCTATCACCATCACTACCACCCTCTACCACTATTACTGCCACCCTCTACCACCATCACTGCCCCCTCTACCACCTCTATCACCATCACTACCACCATCACTACCACCCTCTACCACTATCACTAACCACCCATCACTACCACCCTCTACCACTATCACTACCACTCTCTGCCACTATCACTACCACCATCACTACCACCCTCTATCACCATCACTACCACCATTACCGCCACCCTCTACCACCATCACTGCCACCCTCTACCACCATCACTGCCACCCTCTACCACAATCACTGCCACCCTCTACCACAATCACTGAACATTAAAATGGTATAAAATACCGACAGGTTGTTAGGTAAGACACATATGCAACAGTTAGGTATCTTTATTTCGAAACATTTCGCCTACACAGTAGGCTTCTTCAGTCGAGTACAGAAAAGTTGATAGAAGCAGAAGAGACTTGAAGACGATGTAATCAGTCCATCACCCTTGAAGTTTTGAGGTGGTCAGTCCCTCAGTCTGGAGAAGAGTATTGTTCCATAGTCTGAAACAATATGGAGTAGAAGTGACAGGATGGAGCCTTATATACCGCCAGGAGGTGAGATATAGGCCACTAGTAGAGGTAAGAATGTAGTCGTTGGGAGGTCATGTCCCTCTCAAATCCAGCCATTCCACTAGTAGAAGTTGTCCAAGTTGATTTCAGTTCTGTACCAAGATACCCTTGTGTTGCAGTGTCTGACAGAGTAAACAATACTCTGTCTGACAGATGGAACAATACTTTTCTCCAGACTGAGGGACTGACCACCTCAAAACTTCAAGGGTGATGGACTGATTACATCGTCTTCAAGTCTCTTCTGCTTCTATCAACTTTTCTGTACTCAACTGAAAAAGCCTACTGTGTAGGCGAAACGTTTTGAAATAAAGATACCTAACTGTTGCATATGTGTCTTACCTAACAACCACAATCACTACCACCCTCTACCTTTGTAGAGGGTGGTAGTGATATTTCTCCACAAAACTTTGCAACTCATATCACTTTCATACTTGGCTACGAGTTCTTTCTTGAATTCTATCATGTTTCTCACCTTTATCAAAGGGCTGGCACTTGGAACTTTCTTTGGCCCCAGGGTGGCTTATTTAGCAGTTGGACTCAATAAACAAGCACCAAAAAACAATTGATTATTACAAAATGTTTCACATGAATGCAGAGGGTAATGTTCACTCAACGAGTAGCAAAGCCAGACTGATTCAGAATGCGTGCATGGGATGCTTTGTGTGGGTGCAGGTAGACAGTCACATTCCATACATCAGATGAAAACCGAGGTGATGAATGAAAACTGGGACATTATTTTAATGAAAAAGTCGTCGAAAACTGAATTCAATGAAAACCAGGTCAAATGAAAACCGAGGTTCCACTGTATACTGTTTAATTTTTTTTAACACATCGGCCGTTTCCCACCGAGGCAGAGTGGCCCAAAAAGAAAGAAAAAACTGTTTAAATATGTTACTGACATAAATGATGTGTTCTTTCCAACAGAAACATTCCTTCCAAGAAAAGGTTATAAAACTGGTCTCACACACTTGTACAGACAAGTGCCTGGGCACAGCGGGAGATAGTATGGACAAGCACAAGGGACTTTCTCCCCTCCTATACCCTCTTCTCTTCGGCTGGCACAGGTAAACTATATTACAGGTATTTGTTCACATGCGTTTTCTCTTCTAAAATGTTACTTTTACCTAGAGTATAGGTTTTGATGGTTCTTTGAATGTTACTACAGTACAGGTGTTTGTAGTAGTGCTCATACTACTACCACTACTACACAGTACAAGTGTTACTTGTGTGCATGTTGCTATTAATACTACACAAGAATTGTTTGTTGCATTGGATGACCAAAGTTTTTTGTGACATGTTTACTGAGATGTTGCTTGTATGGTTCTCATTTTAGCAACCAATTATTTTTTTTTCTTTTTAACATGCTGGCTGTCTCCTACCGAAGCAGCATAACCCAAAAAGAAAAACACTTTCACCATCATTTACACATAATCACTGTCTTTGCAGAGGTGCCCAGACATGACAGTTTAGATGTTACTCCAAACAGCCAGTATTTCAAACCCGTCATGTTTTAATTTAGAAACTGAAATTTATTAAACAATTCATAATGATATCGAGTTTTTCATATGCGGTACCATCCGACTTACGACCGAGCTTATTTCCGACCAACCGGTCGTAAGCCAAAATGGACGTAAGTCGAACCTTAGAAAATTGCCGATAGGGAAAGTTGTAGTTATACATGTGGAAAAATCATCTGGTACATGAGAAAGAAAGGTTACAAAAGCTATGGCTTGGGTTGCATTAAAAATAGGTTGAGCAAATGTATATGGATGAATTTGAGAAGGCATGTTTCAGTGTCCCTTCTCTATTACATAAGAACATAAGAAAGGAGGAACACTGCAGCAGGCCTGTTCGCTCACACAAGTAGAGATATGGTAAGTAGTAGTAGTTATACATGTGGTGGAAGAGTCAGCTGGTGACGATGAAGCTACCTTTGTTTTGTTTAACTGTGTTAGAAACACCAATTAATGCTGAAGAAGAGTCCAATGACAAGAGCTACCTTTTCTAAGCATCCTCGTTCACAAAGTAGATAACAATCTAAGATTTAAAGTTTACCGGAAACCTACAAATAAAAATGATCTCACACATTACTTCAGCATTAATTGCAGTTTCTAACACAAACAAAACAAAGGCAACTTCATCATCTTGAAGTCTTAGAGAGACTCCTCCTGAAAACAGCAAACCCTGCCATCATATAATTGCTACTATGTAAAAGGACATGCCCAGTTTGCACCAACAGGCCTGTTGTGGTGTTCCTCCTTTCTACATTTGCCCAACCTATTTTTTATGCTACCCAAGCCATAGCTTTTGTAACCTTTCTTTCTCATGTACCAGCTGACTTTTCCACCACATGTAGAACTACTACTACTACCTCTAAATAACAAAAAAAGGCACAATACCGTGACTGGAACGATACACAAATAACCCGCACATAGAAGAGAGGAGCCTACGACGACGTTTCGGTCCGACTTGGACCATTTACAAAGTCACATTAACGAGAAGTTATTTGACTGGCTCCTCCTCCTCCTTAATCCCCCACTACCACTACTACTACCACCACTACCTCTTCCTGCCTATATATACCCGTACTGCTCCACTTCTGTTAGTATGACTTTAACTGGTCCAATCTGACCGAAACGTCATACTAACTACCTACTACTTCTATGTGACGTTATTTGTTAACTACTACCTCTACTTGTGTGAGTGAAACATTGTCAGTAAAGGATCACATTATACTACTGCTGCATCTGACCGTGCATCTGGCAGCCCTGCTGCCAGATGCACAGTCATAAGTCGAGTGGTCGTATGTCGCGCAGGTCGTAAGTCAGATGGTGAGTGTACATTTTTTAATTATAGTGTTTGTGCCTGTCTGTTGAAAGAAAAGAAGGAATTTGCGGTGAGGTACTAGTGGATATATAAATTTTCCAAGCAAAACTAAACTGAAAAGTTACAAGACCAAGTTTATTTGAGCAAGATGATTAATAATCTTTAGAGAAGGAGGGTAACGTAGAAGAACTGTGAGTCATGTAGTGTTTTAATATAAAAAATAATTCGTTCTGGAGGTATTTAACACGTTAATTTGGATTCTTCAGAATGTGTATCAAAATATGAATTTAAACTGTATTTAATATCTGTTCCTTACACAATGTGTACCAGTATGGAAGTCTGTAGATGTACATACACAAAAGAGTTATATAGCCAAATTAGTATTGTTTTTTATACATGCACTGTCCTTGCAAATAAGCATCTGCAGTACAGTATGTTTTTCCACACACTGATGCCTGTATTTTGCTCAAAGATCTGGTTTAAATACACAACATAATGCACTGGGTATGAACATGTTTCATGTATGATAGGAGCTGCTTTCACTAGTTGGTTGAGTTGTATGTAGAGAGCTTGCAGGCATGTGACTTGACCAACCATGTCCAACATTTTGGGCATCAGACCTGCTGGTTTTATTCGATCACCATTTGGCATATTAAAGCTATACAATGTGGGACAAAGATAACATAAAGTCAAAATTTGGTCATCAATCACACAAGGCATGTGACAGAACAAAAATTTGTAAGATATTCACAAAAGGGTGGTAATTTTAGGTGTAAATGTCATGTACACAACAGGAAGGTGATCCAGATCTTTGCACCCGGCCACAAACCACGTACAGTACAAGACATGGCCACACAAGAATAATTTTTAAATCTGTGCTTCTTGACCAATCTCTACCAAACCAACACAAACTCTCCACACATGCATACAGTAAGCATGCATAAGCTATCAACACATTTGATAAAGCTGAGGAAAAAAATACTATCTATAATAAAACCTTAATGAATAGTGATACTGTCTTTGTCACTGGATAGAATATCTCAATGGCTGTAAGTAGTCCAGCCATTTGGAAGGGTGAGTATTTCTTTGTAAGTAATTAATTGGTTCCAGAGTGTAATCATAAGTACAGATCATCGTAAGTTAAGGCTCTACTATCCTAAACTAATATGTTACGATGATTTAACCTAGGATATCCACTAGAATTAATTTTCATTGGAGGCACATACATTATGTATCTCATTTGGATGTATATAGTATATCATTTTAATTAATACTTATAGGCAATTAAAAATAGTCATAACATCTATTGTTGTTTTGAATCTCACCCATTCTTCAGAGTGAGGAAGTTAGGGTTTGGAAAGTCATTTGAATTCAAAGATCTTTGGGATCTAAATGATAACATATAACTTTCTCCAACAGACAAGTTGTAAAGCAGCGTCGCAAGACTGTTTCCAGAAATGAAATCTATTATGTGGGACCCTGTGGACGGCGCCTACGCACAATAGAGGAAGTTTTTAGATACCTCCAGGAAACAGAGTCCAGCTTGGAGATTGACTGTTTCTCGTTTGAGCTGAACATAGACGTGTCTCATGAGTGGGAACCATTTAAAAAGATAGTGAACATAGAGGTACAGACATGGTGTAGATGCAGTTTTTCCTTAGTTGGGTATTGACAGGTGTAGATATTTGGTAGAGGTTGAGTTTATGATCGGTATCTGCATTTATTATTTTATTATTTATTATCACACTGGCTGATTCCCACCAAGGCAGGGTGGCCCGAAAAATAAAAACTTTCACCATCATTCACTCCATCACTGTCTTGCCAGAAGGGTGCATTTGTCCATAAGAATATGACATTCAGTAATAAGACTAGGGTATACAAGATATGACAGTACATTTAATACAAGTGATGTATGACCTTTATGAGTTTAGTGTTTCCCCAATAAAATAATTATAATAGTACATGATTAAGCTTAATACAATTGTCATACACCTAGAACACATCTGCCGCTTTAAGTGAGTGACATTTGTATTTTAAAAATAAGCACACAATATTCTAATGTTGTGTTCAATGTAAAATTTTGATCTTTATATTCTATTTTAACCTAGCCTTCAAAATGCCTTGCTTCTGGTAAAAGTCTCTTGATAAAAGGAATTGGAACAGCTTCCCCTTCCTTGGTTCATAAATGATTACCTTCCATTCCCTAGGCACTGTATAGTCCTTATGGTTACAGCACTTAACCATGAATGTAATACATTATTATTAACATAATTGTGTAAACATGGACTAATATCATAAATTCACTATTCCAGGACATGTCCAAAGGTGAAGAGAATGTTCAAATTTCCTGTGTGAACTCCTTGGATGACACTGCCCCACAAACGTTGATATACTGCAATGTTCGGCTGCCTACAGAACATGTCCCTCTTAATCTTGATCCTGAGTTCCTTATTTGTTGTGACTGCAAGGATGATTGCCAGGTGAGTCTCTCAGAGGTGGCCTCTCAAGAGAGGTGTACATTTGTAGAAAGAGTGCTGAAATCAGAGGGGTTATACAGCACCAGGGAAATGAGGCATTCAGATTTAGTCCATTAAAAGGGAATGTAGTTGCAGGTCTTTATATCAAGAACCCTTCACTAGCATCAAGGTGATGTTGTCTTGCCATCATTCTTCAGATGGCCCTTTCAACTGCAACATCCTCACCCTCCTTCAGAGGGCAGGCACTCTGTACCTGCACAGAGTGCCTGCTGTAATTTTCACGAAATGCATTCATATTTTGCATGTGTGGATAGTTCATATTGTTAGAGACTGGTAAATATCTGTAGATTCAGTAATTACAGTCTTGTACTTTTTATGTGCCCATAACATGTGTGCCATGAAGACCATTTTAATAAATTTGCATATTATGCACCCAAAACTTAAATAAAAACTTACTTGAGGGACTTCAGTAAGGCCTGGGGGAAAGAAGCAATTTACCATTTATTCCTTCCAGAAAAATGTGTAGGGCTAAGCATGCCAGTGATTTATAAGTTTAATACACAGTTTTATTAGTTTAAAATTTTGATAAAAAGCAATAAGGATCAATTTTACCTTCCTTTAAATTCTTTGTTCCTTTTGCCAGTTGATTTGGAAGTGTTTAGAGATAGTGATGTAACTATTGAGCAGTAGACAGTTATGGGTTGTCTGATTATGATGAAAATTAGACACTTGTGCAAAATTCCATCATCCAGTGGCTTTATCAATATAAATTCAAGGACATAATTTGAAGACAGTAGAACTATGTACAAATGATGAGGTAATCAGTCTTTTGGCCCTGGAGTCTAGTGTGAAGTGCACTGTGGTCATGGAGAAACTGGAACACTGGCAAGAAGGCTGGCGCTTATATACTGACGTCAGGTGGTAAGAGACGTGTAGCAGACGAGAAATGTACAAATTGTTTTTTTGTGTTTTATTTGACTCTTCTCATACATTTCACTGTACTATTTTCTTGCTCATAATAGTGATGCAGAAGACTTTTTTCCTCATTTAAATTCCCTCTTTGTTTGTTGATATGGAAGTTGATTGAGGAGTAGACAGCTGTGAGTCGTCTCTTTACGTTTTATCAACAAAGCTGTGGATTGTCTGTTAAGGTTTGTAGGGTAGCCACAGCACATCTGAACAGAAACGTTTTCACGCCTGAGCTGTCTTCTTAAAACTTCACAGCAGTACATTCAGTCAGAACTGCATAGTAATATTTATTGAAAAAAAAAAATATAAATAGCATTCTATCTAAAATGTGCCATCATGGTGTGTGCTGTGAGAAAGTTTACTGTGCTAGGTCATTTCTTACTGAAACAGGTCCTGTAATTACATAGATTTTATTAATGAGAATAAATTATTTTATATTTTAGGATAAATCTAAGTGTGCTTGTTGGCAATTGACCATAGAAGGAACTGGTATCCTTGAACGAAACGAGAACCAGACCGCTGGCTACCACTACCGTCGCTTATTCGAACAAGTTCAGAGTGGAATATATGAATGTAACTCGAGGTAAGCTAGCATATTTGCAAAGGTGAAAATGATTCAAGTACAGCGGTGCCCTGAGCTTCGGCCATAATTCATTCCAGAAGGCTGCTCAAGTGCTGTTAACAAATGAATCTGTTCCCATAAGGATTAATGTAAATTAGATTAGTCCATTTCAGACCTCCAAAAATACACTTACAAAAGCACTTACAGTAATACACTTACATAATTGTTCGAGTTGGAAGCTGTTTGAAACTCTGGGTACCACTGTATGATGAACATGTCCTCTTTTGTCCCTTGGTGTTGAGAGTAGACATTTACTGTATGTGTGAAAGTCAAAGTAAAATGTTAGTATCTTCAATTTTATGTGATGGCTTGAATTAGTTGATGCAAAAAAAAAAATCACAGGTTATGAGTAAGCAATGGGCGTAGCAAATTTAGTAATTTTATGAACAAAAATTTTTTGAACCACATTGATTCATATACAGTAGACTGTTGTTTAACACAGTTTTGTCTTGCACATTTTGGTTATAGCACGATTGAAGAATTGCAGCATATTTTTGTCTAACACTTTGTAAAATTAGTTTAACCCAGTTGTGGGAGGGGAAAAATTTTGAGCGCGCTGTCGCCCGCGGGGTGGGATGGGCTACCGCCATCCCCCACCAGCATAAGCCACTCCCCCTACCCTCCCAGCCTTCAGTTCGGTTCATGTGTGCGTTGCATGAACCTGTGCCAGTAGCTTGCTGTGTTTGTTTAGATACGTATTAATTGCCATATCTTAGATCTGCCAAGCAATCATGGCACCCATGGCAAGAAAAGGTTTAAGCATTTAAGTCTTAGAATTAACGAAAAAATAGATATACAGTGGAACCTCTACTTGCGAGTTTAATCCGTTCCATGACCTTGCTCACAACTGGATTTGCTCGTTTGCAGAGTCAATTTTCCTCATTTAAATTAATTGAAATGCAATTAATCCGTTCCAGTGGAATTCTGTACTTCAGTAATTTCGCTAATGTCAACTCTACGGCTTATTTTTCTATCACAGTTCATCTAATATAACATAACAAACAATATAAATAACATAGAAACCTGATATATACTTTAGAATGAATAAAATATGTCATTATATATGTGGCAGCGGCGGCAGCCGACGAGAGTTTGTCTGGAGACAGGACAAAATACTCCTTGAATATTTCACTATCATCAACTCTGCGGCTTATTTATCTATCACATATTATATTATTATTATTATTCTTCTTTCTTTCTTTCAACACACCGGCCGTATCCCACCGAGGCGGGGTGGCCCAAAAGGAAAAACGAAAGTTTCTCCTTTTACATTTAGTAATATATACAGGAGAAGAGGTTACTAGCCCCTTGCTCCCGGCATTTTAGTCGCCTCTTACAACACGCATGGCTTACGGAGGAAGAATTCTGTTCCACTTCCCCATGGAGTATTATTATTCTTATTATTATTATTCTTTCTTTCAACGCACCAGCCGTATCCCACTGAGGTGGGGTGGCCCAAAAGGAAAAACTAAAGTTTCGCCTTTAATTTAGTAATATTACAAGGAGAAGGGTTACTAGCCCCTTGCTACCAGCTTTATCGCCTCTTACAAAACGCACGGCTTACGGAGGAAGAATTCTGTTCCACTTCCCCATAGAGATAAGAGGAAATAGGCAAGAACAAGAACGAGAAAGAAAATAGAAGAAAACTCCAGGCGGAAACATTCTCACAAACTGAAACACAAAAGTATAGTAGTAAAAGTAAGCGATGGCACTACGGTGAAAAGCTCTGTTCCCAAAAAGGCACGAGTACTCGTCCCATCTTGTTTCTATCCATATCTGACTAGACAGTATGTCAGCACAGCACGTGTCTTCCTTTGCAAATGACACCGAATCTGCATGACAGTGTCTTCCATTGCAGACACTGCAAGGCTCCAGGCGGACATCAACCAAATCTTTCAGTGGGCTGCAGAAAACAATATGAAGTTCAACGATGAGAAATTTCAATTACTCAGATATGGTAAACACGAGGAAATTAAAACTTTATCAGAGTACAAAACAAATTCTGGCCACAAAATAGAGCGAAAAACCAACGTCAAAGGCCTGGGAGTGATCATGTTGGAGGATCTCACCTTCAAGGACCATAACATTATATCAATTGCAGCTGCTAGAAAAATGACAGGATGGATAATGAGAACCTTCAAAACTAGGGATGCCAAGCCCATGATGACACTCTTCAGGTCACTTGTTCTATCTAGGCTGGAATATTGCTGCACACTAACAGCACCTTTCAAGGCAGGTGAAATTGCTGACCTAGAAAATGTACAGAGAACCTTCACAGCGCGCATAACGGAGATAAAACACCTCAATTACTGGGAGCGCTTAAAGTTCCTGAACCTGTATTCCCTGGAACACAGGTGGGAGAGATACATGATTATATACACCTGGAAAATCCTAGAGGGACTAGTACTGAACTTGCATACGAAAATCACTCACAACGAAAGCAAAAGACTTGGCAGACGATGCAACATCCCCCCAATGAAAAGCAGGGGTGTCACTAGCATGTTAAGAGACAATACAATAAGTGTCAGGGGCCTGAGACTGTTCAACTGCCTACCAGCATACATAAGGGGGATTACCAATAGACCCCTGGCAGTCTTCAAGCTGGCACTGGACAAGCACGTAAAGTCGGTACCTGACCAGCCGGGCTGTGGCTCGTACATTGGATTGCGTGCAGCCAGCAGTAACAGCCTGGTTGATCAGGCTCTGATCCACCAGGAGGCCTGGTCACAGACCAGGCCATGGGGGCGTTGACCCCCTGAACTCTCTCCAGGTAAACTCCAGGTAAACGACAGAATTAACCCTTTGAGGGTTGACAGGCCCTCTCCTTAACTTGTTCTCATGGTCGAAAATTTTTCAAAAAAAAAAAAATTTCTTACGAAATGATAGAGCACATTTTTGTGAGTGTTATAGGCCAAAAAAAAAATTTTTTTTTGCGATCAATAATTGCCAAGATATGAAGGCGTGAAGTTGACAGAAAGTGAGCCACTTACAGCAACATTGCTGACTGCCGGTCACACAGTAATAGTTTATTTATTATTTTGTTACTTTTTTCTTTTATTTTTTAACATTTTATGTTTTTTAAGTAACTTTTATGGCCTGTGAGACCAATATAAGCCATATTTTGGATATAAACACTTGTATACTATACAATAACTGTACAAACATTGACAGTTGAACATTTTAACCTATTTTAGTCACATACTATTGTCTAGAAATATATACATAGCATTTATAGGTCCCAGCAATGTTTTGGTGGGGAAGGGAGCATGGGTTTGTGTAAACAACATGGCTGGCTGGCTCGATTTGAAGGTACTAGAATTTATGCATACAAGTACGTGACCAACCTTGGCTGCAATGATGTACAGTGGAACTTAATCCGTTCCAGGAGCTACTTCTAAATTTGAAAAGTCTGAAATTCGAAGCAATATTTCCCATAAGAAATAATGGAAATACAATTAATCCATTCCAGAAACCCAAAAATATTCACACAAAAAATACATTTTATAGAGATTAATTACAGTTTTACTTACAACAAATACTATAGTTTTTAATTCTTCTTTCAACACACCGGCCATATCCCACCGAGGCGGGGTGGCCCAAAAGGAAAAACGAAAGTTTCTCCTTTTACATTTAGTAATATACACAGGAGAAGAGGTTACTAGCCCCTTGCTCCTGGCATTTCAGTCGCCTCTTACAACACGCATGGCTTACGGAGGAAGAATTCTGTTCCACTTCCCATGGAGATAAGAGGAAATAAACAAGAATAAGAACTAGAAAGAAAATAGAAGAAAACCCAGAGGGGTGTGTATATATGTGCTTGTACATGTATGTGTAGTGTGACCTAAGTGCAAGTAGAAGTAGCAAGACATACCTGAAATCTTGCATGTTCATGAGACAGAAAAAAAAAGACACCAGCAATCCTACCATCATGTAAAACAATTACAGGCTTCAGTTTTACACTCACTTGGCAGGATGGTAGTACCTCCCTGGGCGGTTGCTGTCTACCAACCTACTACCTATAAGTTTTTAATTATGTATAGTAATACATATAAAATAACATTTTTACTTACCCTTATTGAAGATTGGTGATGGCATCTGGAAGATAGGGAGGAGGAGAGAGGGAGTTGGGGTTAGTGTTTGGAAGGAGAATCCCCCTCCATGAGGACTTCAGGTGAAGCCCTCTCTGGGGTTACTTCCCTTCTCTGTCTTTTAATGCCACTAGGACCAGCTTGAGAGTCACTGGACCCCTGTCTCACAAAATAACTGTCCACAGTCCTCTGTTTCTGGCACCTCTTTAACATTTCCCTAAAATGGGACATGGTTCTGTCACTGAACTTGTTGCAAAGATGGCTTGTTTCAGCTTGCTCAGGGTGGTACTTCTGCACAAACATTTGGACATCATTCCACTTGGCACAAATCTCCTTAATCTTTGAAGAAGGCACCTCATCCACTCCCTATATTAACACCTTTCGCAACATCAGCTTCCTTGATTTGTTCTTTCTTTGACAGGATAGAACCGATGGTCGACTTGATTTTCCCATACATCCTGGCAAGCTCAACAAGTCTCACACCACTCTCATACTTCTATATTATTTCCTTCTTCACATCTATGGTGTTTCTCACTTTCTTTACCACAGGGGTACCACTAGCAAGTTTCTTTGGGCCCATGGCAGCTTATTTCACAGTCCCACAAGCACTAAACACAACTAAATAATCGTAAAATGCGTGAATGAGAGCGCAGGTTAGTGTTCACTCAAGCATAAACAAAGCTAGATTGCTCACGGCGCCTGCGCGGGGATGCGGACAGAGCGGGCGGCAGACAGGTCTCGTACCCGGCGGTCCGAAAATAGGGGTGCGTTCGATAATAGGGACACAGTTTGTCCGAAAAAATGGTCCTATTTTCGAAACGTTTGATATGTGATACGTTTGATTTCTGAGGTTCCACTGTACTTGTATATGACTGACTCTCAAAGGGTTAAGAAAAGTACATATAAGATGAACTATGGCTTTTATTAGCCAGCTAATTATTTTGACACTTTTTGAGAGGAGAAATAATCAAAATAATTTAACCAACAGGTGCAGATGCAGCAATCATTGTTTGAATCGTGTGGTTCAGCACCCACTGAGACTAAAGCTTCAACTTTTCAAGACTGCAAGGCGAGGGTGGGGTGTTAGAACACTGCACGACATCCCCAGAGGAGGCTTCATCTGTGTTTATGTTGGCAGGATGTTAAACGAGACTAAAGCAAATGAGGTATTTATTTTTCACTAGGCTGCAGGTTGGCTACAACCATCAGTGATAGCTTTACTCGGCTTTTGTCCCATATATTGTACACACACTAATAACACAAGGGTTATTTTCCTGAAAATTGGCTATTGTACAAATTATCATGAACTGAAGTGAAGAGCCTATGGGAAAAATAGGTTTACTTTCCTTGGACTTTAAAATAGATTTAAAAAAAGAAAGTATGTTATCTTACCTTAATTAAATTCTGGTCGCTGTTGGTTGTTGATATGAATGTGTGGCTGAGGTGGATGGCTATAGTTTTTGCATTGATGTGGCTGGTTGTGGTTCTTGTGATGTGGATGGCTGTGGTTCTTGCATTGATGTAGGTTGTAGTTATTGTGTTGATGTGGATGACTGTGGTTCTTGTGCTGATGTCAGAAGGTGGTTGTACTGAAATCCTCAAGTATTGTGTAATGCATCTCTGTTCTATTTTACCAAGTAGTATCCCTGTTTACAAATGACAATAAAGCCTCATCAGGTCCTCCAGACCCAAGGACCTGACACTGATATGCTGCATTAACAGTGTCCCTTTCCCTTCCTCCTCCTGCCTCCGTCTACCATCTCTTTTATCTCTACTGTGTAGCACTGAATGATTCTTTACAGGTTCACTGCTTTCTTTGAGCACAATACAAAACTTGATTGTTAGAACATTTTTGTCAGTGTCCTGTAGAGTACTGTGTGTGACTTTAAGGATAGCTGTTCTCTCAAACGAATTCTTTGATGCTACTCCTTAGGATGGAAAGACCATTGGAGGAGATGACTACTATGCAGAGTTGGATTATATTGAAGTGATGGAAAATGCTAAAGAGGGATATGAGGAAGAAGCATCCACACCAGATATAAATGAAAATAATTTCCAAGGAGAAGACAGAAATATTGGTAAGATTTCTTCTTTTAATTGCATGAAGAAAAGTTTTGAAGAAAATGTCAAGGTGTCATGTGTGAATCAGTGACTAGGACAATTTTTAGAATTACTTCATGGCTGGGTTGACTTTTTTATTTATTTTTATTTTAGATCTTTAAACATTTTAAGTTTGTTAGTATTGACATGCATGACCCCTTAAGGAGAGTACCTTGCTTCTGGTGAAGGGCTTTTGATCTGAGGAATTGGAGCTATTCTCCCTTTGCCTCTGGAAAGACAGTGATGGAGTGAGTGATGATCAAAGTGTTTCTTCATTTTTTGGGTCACCCTGCCATGGTAGGAAATGGCCAATGTGTTAAAAAAAAAAAAATTTCTAGGTTATATATGACTCTTAGGATTAATATGACTCTCCATGATGATAGTAATACTTACAATAGATTCCAAGAAAAGGTTCTGAGCTTGGGAAATACAGTGAGCACATTTTAAACAATATTCTGTGGTGGTTTCAAAAGAATGTTACTGTAAGATCACATAAATAAAAATTTTGAGAAACTCATCTACTCTAGCAAATTCAAAATAACCTTCAGATATATGACTGGCAAAGTACTAAAGAAAAAAATATTCACAATGCGTTAGATCAAAATTTGATTTCAGTTTGCAGAGGTAATGTGTAGGCTTGATAAAAATAATATAATTTGTTTGCTTTTGTGTTATTATGATTTTTAATAGTTCTTATTTCTGTAATATACAGTGGACCCCCGCATAACGATCACCTCCGAATGCGACCAATTATGTAAGTGTATTTATGTAAGTGCATTTGTACGTGTATGTTTGGGGGTCTGAAATGGACTAATCTACTTCACAATATTCCTTATGGGAACAAATTCGGTCAGTACTGGCACCTGAACATACTTCTGGAGTGAAAAAATATCGTTAACCAGGGGTCCACTGTACTTCCAATTTAGGAAGCCTAGTGTGAGGCAGGGCCATGAGGCTATTGATTCCCTGAACCATTAGCTTAACATTTTGGTGGCTCATGCCACCAAAATGTTCAGTCTTGGAACAGGTGGAGATGTTGGGCATGTTTCCTTACACTGTTGTCCCTGTTCACTTGGTAGTAAATAAGAAGCTGCCTGTTAGTCCAGTTTTTGTGAGTCTCATCCTGGAGGGAGTGGGTGGTATCAAAGTTTATGTATAGCTAGGATTTGAAATGAGATAATCCTGATTGAAATGAGATAATCCTGAATATTGCACCTGATCCTTCACATTTTGATTGCCCATGTGAGTGACTCTTAGGGATTTCCTGACAGGAGGATCAGACAGTAATGAAAGTGATGGCTTCTACAGTGAAAATGAAATTGACAACCCTAAAGAAGACAGTGACTTCAACCAACCATCTCATATAAAAAAGATTGGGTTCACAAAGCGGGAAAAATCTGCTCGCCTTCAAGAACGTGCCAAGCGCAAGAAACATTCACCATCAGATCCTGGTTGGTGTCTCAATTTGAAATACAGTAGAACACTGATTATCTGGACCCCTTAGGGCAAGGGTGTGCTGAATTTTTAACCACACTGAATGATTGCACCATCTTTTTTTGGTTCCTTATTTGTTGCATATTCTTATTTTTTAGCATTATCTGTACACTTGCTGAATCAGACAAGACCACCAAGTAATGTTAATTGCCGAATAACCTATAACTGGATAATTCAGTGATCTGTGCTATTCTGTACCCTATATCTCAGCCACATGTAGACCTTTGTCCAGAAATATGTGCTTCAAGTTATACCTCATGAATCATGAAATCATAATGATGCAGGCCAGTGTACTATCCTTTGTTTGGTGAGCTACACCTAATGACTTTAAGCTGCAACGTTAAAATAATGCAACAAATAATAAATCATGAATACTGTATACATTTAGAGATGGCTCCAGTATTTCAGAATGTTATGGGGACAGCTTTTAATGAGACTTCAACCTCTTAATATGGGAACCAGAGTTCAATGGAAGAAAATATTTAATCTCACATTTACTTAAAAAATTTGCAACAAAAGTTCTTTAGCACTAGCTGGATAGTTATCTATATATGTAACACTCATAATATAGATTAATTTAAATGGTGAAAGGTGTGGCAAAGTGAGATGGAAGTGTAATTAGGTGCAAATAGTGGTGGGTGGTCTGGTGCCATCTTCTCTCTAAAGATTAAAAGAAAACAACTCAGTTTTATCTACATATTACATCATTGGTGTAGCTGTCTTCTATATAATCCACCCTTCAAGAAGGATGCTTTGATGCTGATGAGGACCTCTTGATTGAAGAAATTGGAGCTATCCTACTCTACCCTTTCTTGGATCAAATCTTAGTGCCTCATATTTCCCAGATGTTGTATGTGACCCATATGGGTTGAGTGCTCCCCTGTGAATATAATAATAATTATGCTGTTAATGCATATGTACTTTTTTTTTATGTACATATTCTTTTAATATGAAGTATAGAATTGTCTCTTGTAGGTAAGGAAGAAGGCGGCAGTGGTTCTGGCTCAGCAGCTGCATCAGATGAAGAACCAATTAAAGGACGCAAGAAGAAGACAGAAACAAATGAAAAGACTACTGGAAAGGAAAATGGAAAAAATAGTGACAGCAATAATAAAAAGAAAGAGAGTTCAAAGGACAAGAGAGAAAACTCAGATAGTTCAGATGATTTAGAGGATCAGTCAGATGATGGAGAAGATGAAGCTGGTAAGGAGGCTGTTCTGATCATAATTTTTAGTATTTTCAGCATAGCTGGCATTGATTTGGAGGTCATACTCTTGAGGCTGTGGTTCTTTGAATGTTAAGTGGTGCACCAGTAGCATGTCTACCTTGCACCAGCATGGTGGGGAATGGAGCTCTGCACATTTCCTCCTCTTCTTGTCACATGCATGATATTGTGAAATTGCTGTTTGTTCTATAAAGTAATAATAAAAATATATAAATTTAGAAATCCTAGGTAGTAGGTTGGTAAACAGCAACTGCCCAGGGATTTCAGGTACATCTTGCTACTTCTGCTTACACTTAGGTCACACTACACATGCATGTACAGGCATATACATACACACACCCCTCTGGGTCTTCTTTTTTCTTACTGGTTCTCATTCTTGTTTATTTCCTCTTATCTCCATGGGGAAGTGGACCAGAATTCTTCCTCTGTAATCCATGCATGTCATAAGAGACAACTAAAGAAAAACTTTTGTTTTTCTTTTTGGGCCACCCTGCTTCAGTGGGATACAGCCAGTGCATTGAAAGAAAGAAGAAACTTAGAAATGTGTAAATAAAGCTTCTGAATGCGAATTTTAGTTATTTATTATTTCATGGTATTCTGAACAGTGAGACTCCACTTAGAAAATTGAACTGCATGTAAGAGAAATCTGGATATTGTGCCCTCAGTGTACAGATGACTTCTTTTTACCTTGCTGGTGAGCAGCTAACAGCAACAGCCTGGTGCAACAAATAGTCAACAAGGAAGCCTGGTCTGAGGTGGTGCTAGAAGGGTAGAAGTATATTTTAAACCAGTCACAGATGTGTGTTTCAGTTTACTGTTCATGTGGTTTCCCATTTTTGATTGATCATTGTTTGTGACACTTTAATGCAAACATCATTGCATTGTATAACAGCGGTAGCAATTCTTTACCTGATATTTTATCTCATTTTTACAGATGAAAAACAGCGCCAACCACAGAATTTTGTACCAAGTCAGCTCTTGGCATCGGCCAACCCAATTAAGGCAAACCAGAGTGTGCGTGAATATTTTGGAAAGGATGAGGCTGTATACATCATGGATGCCAAGCACACTGGTAACATTGGCCGCTTTCTTAACGTAAGTGCTGTGTCCGTTTTTTTTTTTTTCGAAAACTATTTAAGATGTGAAATACCCAAGGAAATAAAAACTGCTTATAGTAGTTTTAGAATACAGGACAGTGCTATGTGGGTTTTCTTTATTCCTGCATTTCAGTATTGCTGTTGGCTATAGTATACTGTATAAAAATAAAGTACTGTACCTGTTTATAACCTTTAATGCATGGTGTGCAAAATACAAGTAAATATACTGTTATTGATAATATGAAGACATTGCAGCAAGTATCATATACAGTAGACTAATATTACACGGTAGTTATGTTCCTGAAAATGCTGTGTTAGGTAAAATCCATGTTAGATAAACTGAAGAACTTGTAGGAAAAATAAGGTTAGGTTCCTGGGAGCCCCAAAAAGGCCAAACAATTTTTTTTAGACCTTCAGATCTTACAAAAATAAAAGTGAATATGTAATTGTAGTTCATTGTTGTGATGTATTTTGTTATTTTTACTGCTTAAGACTACAGATGCAACAGAAACAATAGTATTTCTTACCTTAAATTGTGGGTGCTGGTGTTTGTCAATGATTAAGAAGAGAGTGGAGAGTTATGCTGTGGCCCTACTGGGCTGAGGTGGATGGTAGAGGCTCTGTACTGAAGTCGATGGTTGTACTGGAGTGTGCATAAATTCTGTAATGGATTTCTGGGCTATTTTACCCTGGAGTACATTATACAGCTGACGGTAAGATATCAGCTACTCTAGACCGTTTCAGAACACTGCTTCTAGATTTGTCTGGGTCCTCTTCAGTGAATAAGTCTAACTTTAAGTCAGTGTGTAAATCATTAAGTAAGTTAGTCAGGTCAGTAAAGCAAGCCAGTCAAGCAAGTCAGTCAAGTCAGTAAAGTAAGCCAGTCAAGTAAGTCAGTCAAGTCAGTAAAGTAAGTCAGTCAAGTCAGTAAAGTAAGTCTGTCAAGTAAGCCTGTCAGTCAAGTAAGTTAGTTATTCATCACACAAACTCGTATATTTACCTCATTCTTTTTAATTGTACAAAGTGATGCTTCATTAAGGTCATAGATATCCCTTGTCTAATATCTCTATTTTCTTCGCTTATACCTTTTCTTGCCACTTTCAGCAACACTTGTATGCCTACTGGGTGCCATGATTGCTTGGCAGATACAAGACATGGCAATTAAAAGATCAAAACACAATTCACAAACACAGCCAGCTCCTAAGACAATGGAACTGAACATGTATTCATGAAGGCTGGGATGGTGGTGTTGAGGGTGGTTCTTGTCTAATATCTCTATTTTCTTCTCTTATACCTTTTCTTGCCACTTTCAGCAACACTCGTATGCCTACTGGGTGCTATGATTGCTTGACAGATACAAGATATGGCAGTTAAAACTTCAAAGCTAGCTCCTAAGACTGAAACTGAACACATATTCATGAAGGCTGGGATGGGGTGGCAGGAATGTTGGAGGTGGCAGGGGATGGTGGTGGGTCTTCCTCACTGATCCACAACAGCATGGCAGTTTGAGCTGGGGAAATTTTTTCCACACCCGCAAACAGAACTGTGTTAAGTTAATTTTATGGAGTATTGTATAAAATTGTGCCGCAGTTTTTCAGCAGTGCAATAAATCCGTGTAATATAATGGTCTACTGTATACAGAAAAGTGTTTTTCAATATATCTGGATGTATCCTTTCTTGGATTGAACCTGAATGCCTGTAATTCTCCAGGTGCTATGTGATCCATTTACCCTACAGGTTTAGCACTTTTCCCTATTAAAATAAAAAAAAAAAATTTCTTTTTATTTTTTTTTAACAAGTTTTTGCCAGCTCCATCCAAGGCCAAAGAGAAGCTGCAAAGAAATTCGAAAATCCCTGCAATAATCACCTTTCATATCAATTCATCTTTCACCACAGCTTCCATTATCACATGTTTTTAAGGTGCTCAAATAAACAGTCTAGAAGCATCACATAAAGATAACTAACATATCCCTCCAAAACTGCCAATATCAAACCCCTCCATTTAAAGTGCAGGATTGTATTCCGTTCAGGACAAGGACCTATATGAATAACGGATTTCTTGGATTCCTTCACTAAATATAGCGCTGCTCACACTCCAACATCAATATAAAAATAAATTGTTGCCTAAAGTTTAATAACATTGTTCAATAATTTTGCTCCATTAAAAGAAAGCTTGAATTGTCAGTTTTTCCTTATTCTGCTGTCCATTCTTCTCAGCACACTTTATGAAATTTTTCTTATTACTAAGGTTTTTTTATTGCTTCTAAAACAGATTTTTACTGAAACTATGTTAATAGAGGTATGAATGGAAAGAAGCTGAAGTGACACTAAAAAATTAAATGGGAGTAGTAAAAATCTAGGGATGAATGATTGAAGGGTAGAAAGCAGACAAAGTATGGAGTTAGAGAATGTTTGGATTTTATAGTAGAGCATTGACAGGTGGATCTGTAAAGATGGCACAGTATGAATTATGTAAATAAAGAAAGTTGTGTTGATGGAATTTGCAAAAAGAAATTGTCAATAAATGCAGGAGGGGATACTATATCAACTTGAATACTCAAACATTCTGCCTTCATACAATACCTTACATACCATTAATGTTTGTTTTCTCATTTTCTCTCTTTTTTTTCAGCATTCTTGTGAACCAAATGTATTTGTCCAGAATGTTTTTGTGGATACTCACGACCTGAGATTCCCCTGGGTTGCTTTCTTTGCCATCATCAACATTCGGGCAGGTACAGAACTCACCTGGGATTATAACTATGAAGTTGACAGTGTCCCTGGCAAGATAAAGTATTGCTATTGTGGAGCTCGAAAGTGCCGCGGGAGACTTTTGTAAGGTGTATTTAATTGAGTTTTAAAATAAAGTATATTTATTTATATTCAGTTTCTCACGTGTTCATATGGATAACTTGTTGATACTGTTTGACAGCTATGCATAAAGAAGCATTTGTTAATAGGATCTCCTTCCCCTTTTTTGTGGTGAGAGGTGATTAAGAATCCTTCCCTATTTTTTAGTCAAAAGGTAATTATCTTTCTTTCTTTCAACACACCAGCCGTATCCCACCGAGGCGGGGTGGCCCAAAAGGAAAAACGAAAGTTTCTCCTTTTACATTTAGTAATATATACAGGAGAAGAGGTTACTAGCCCCTTGCTCCCGGCATTTTAGTCGCCTCTTACAACACGCATGGCTTACGGAGGAAGAATTCTGTTCCACTTCCCCATGGAGATAAGAGGAAATAAACAAGAATAAGAACTAGAAAGAAAATAGAAGAAAACCCAGAGGGGTGTGCATATATGTGCTTGTACATGTATGTGTAGTGTGACCTAAGTGTAAGTAGAAGTAGCAAGACGTACCTGAAATCTTGCATGTTCATGAGACAGAAAAAAGGACACCAGCAATCCTACCATCATGTAAAACAATTACAGGCTTTCGTTTTACACTCACTTGGCAGGACGGTAGTACCTCCCAAGGTAATTATAACCCCTTTAATATTTTTACTTTTTTTTTTTTTTATACTTTTTGTAGTCAGAGCTGATTGATGCCAAGTTGTAAATTTGTGTGGTGGCCACTACAAAGCTCTTGAGATTTTTTAGTGTTATTCCAAAGTGCGTGTGATCTGTTAGCATTAATATTTAATTGATGCAAATATTGAATCGGACTAAGATATTGCTGTAGAGACTACAAGTATCATGCAATATTAATGAAGTATGATTTTAAGCTGAACATGACGACTTGAGTAATGACAGTTAAGTATGAATGTATATATTTTATATATATATATACATATACCTAAATTTTTTACTATTTCATTCTAAAATACATTTACTTTTTATGTTGCTCTAAATAAGACATTGTTTAGTCAAGTCCTGTGTTTTAACACAGTGTTATATTTAGCTTTTATGTTTACTAAATAAATGGTGAGTTTTAGCAGGAACATGAAATAGGTTGTTCTTGCATCTATGTTCTCTACCCTATATCAAGGTTTTCTTTCCTGATTTTTTTTTTTTACCACCATTGCATTGCTAGTCTTATTTTGCTAAAAACTGTCAGATATGAATTATAATAAACAACTCAAACATTTTTATAGTATTTTATTTATTAGTCAGTATACCCTAATACATTACTTTGTTATATTTTTCTTTTTACCACATCAACTATTTTCCATAAAGATAGAATAACTCCCCCTACAAAAACATAACAAAAAAAATACACTCACCATTATTCATTCAATAGCTCATATTTGCAAGAAGTGCACAGAATTCACAGTCAAATGATTTTTCAAAATGTAACATGTAGGCCATTTCAATAGACTTACGTCATTAACATTATTATTGAAAATGACATCATCTTTGCTTTCTTGAAAGAATATACGTATTTGTCTCGATGTAGTGTTATGTCCTGTCTTGATTTTCTTTCAAAAAATCTAACCTTCAAGGAAGTGACAATGACAGAGAAGAACTCTTCATCCAAGGAATTAAGAGCTACTCACAACTTCCCCTCATCATACTGATTGCCTCCCTTTCCTGAGGTGTTATATGACCATGACCACTGTGGGTTTAGTACTCGCACATAAATAATGAATAACAAAACCAAGAGCTAAAATATTGTATTGTGCAATAAGTCGTGTAGATCTTTAATTGCAGGTGAAGTGCTGATGATTAAAATACGTATTGGAAATGGTCCTTCGAGAATCTCAGGATAAGAGTCTTTCCAGACACTTCATAAATATATGTCAGGCACGAGTATGGAACCCACACCTGAGGAAGCATGTTAATTAAGTGCAGAAGTATGCAATAAGGCATGTACTTGAGTTAAGTGAGATGCCTTGATATTGGTGAGGGGCACTTGATACAGGGAATTGGACCTATGCTTCCTTGGATTGAACCTGATTGCCTTCTATTACCCCAGGTGCTGTATGACTCCTGCAGGTTTAGTGTTCCCCATGAATGTATTAACATGAATCTAGTAAGAGAGGTGATGCAGGAAGCCCTGCACTACAGAGACCAGTATGTCTGATAATTGTAGTTTTCAATTGTTATTAAATATTATACCCCTCAAGGGAGGTTCCTTGATGCCCTCTCTCTTAGAATGAATCTGGATGCCTCTCATTCCCACAAGCAGTACATGACCCCTATGGGTTTAGTGCTTTCCCATGAATGTAATAAGAATATTAAAGATTTTGACCCTTTAAAAGATATGCCTTGAAGCTGGTGGAGAGCTCTCCTTCCTCTCCTGATTACCTCCCATTTCCAGGTACTGTATGGCCCATACAAGCCTTTTTTTTTTTAACACCATCCATCTCCCACTGAGGTAGGGTGATCCAATAAAGAAGAAGACTTTTACCATCACTGGTGTGCCTTATGAGTGTAGTTTGCAAATTACTACCAAAGATTATAATTTCTTGAAAGGGATGATGCCTTGAAGCTGATGGAGGGCTGCTACTTCCATTTACTAGTATCAAACCTGATTGCCCTGTCCATGTTGTCACCCACAACAAATGACTTACAACTCGGTGCCTATTTACTGTTGTGACCACAGGTAATGCACAGTGGGATGCACATTATTGTGACTTTTCTTTCTTGCTTTGGATCAAACCTGATTACCTCCCTACGAGTTGAGTGCCTTCCCTTAAAATAGAACAGTCACAATCTTATTATCACTGTATGACCCATATGGGTCATACAGTGATAATAAAGACCCATGGGTCATACAGCACATGGGGAATGGGAGGCAATCAGACTCGATCCAAGGAAAAGGAGGATGCCTCCCATCCTTTGGATCAGGAGTCTTTGACAAGCCTTGTAATGAAAAAACAAATTGGTGTTAAAACACACTCAGACTTTCTTGATCTTTGAATCTAATAAAATTATTGATTATAATGCATCCATTATTAAAGTAGAGGATATATAACTCTCTGTCAGCAGTCATTATGTCAAGATTTGTATAATCTGCTTAGGAAAACCACAAACATTAGAAGACAAATACAAAAAAAATTCTTCATTACCACAAGGTATATATTTTTTACAAACTTGGATATAAATGAATCGACGCCTTTAGACTTCACTTCTGGCACTGAGGAAGCTTATAAGATGCCCTTCACACTCAATGAACTTGGGTCAGCACTTTCCACTTGCCATGGACAACACCTGAGCTTGATGTCAGCCATGACTTTGTTTCAACACTCCCGTAGTTCGATTGGTAGCGCACTCGTCTCACACAGGTCCATGGTTCGATCCCCGGTAAGGGTGGAAACATTAGGACTTGTTTCCTTAAGACACCTGTTGTCCCTGTTCACCTAGCAGTAAAATAGGTACCTGGATGTTAGTTGACTAGTGTGGGTTGCATCCTGAGGACAAAATTGATCTAATTTGCCCTAAATGCTCTGCATAACAAAGTTAGTTTAATATGTTTATTATGCACCCCATACCCATCCTGTGGGCGGTAGTCAAAAGATTACAACAAAGGGCTTTATATATAGTAGTATGTCACTGATGTTAGCTAGGTCTGTATACCTTGTAGAAATAAAGATTATTATTAAAGTCAATCTAACCCTACCTAAATTAACCTTACTCCGCCAGCGATAGATATGGTCATCATGAGCCTTTGTTTACATTTGATTCTTCTTTGTTTACGATCGCTGTGATTGGCCAGGAGCGTCAATAGTAACCGTTGACTGGCTGCGACATGTTGCATGTCCCAAGATATATTTATCATTGATAGCTCCCAGAATAAATTCCTTCAAGAAATGATAATTTGTGACGGGGTGTAGATAACATGCTTGCGCTGTATCAAAGAAAATAATGGGTGATTTTTCAATAGGACCGGATCTCCATATTATCCGTAGTGTAGGAGTGATAGATGGAACGCTAAATAAGTGTGTTAAGAGTGTGTATTGGTGATATAATGTGGAGATGATGATGCTGTACTCATTCTCAGATACGCGAGGCAACTATGCCACCTCTACCTCATTGAACCCTCACAGTCACTCATGTAACACCTATGATGATTATGGGATGAGCAGAGGCACTAATAATCTCCATGGATCATATTACTCAGATTAGCCTGGCATTAAAACTTTTTTCTTTACTGTACTAGAGATGACTACGCTGGTAGACGTGGCACCAGCGCCCTGATGCAGGCCATAGCAAGATGGCTTTCCTATGCCCAGTGAGAATCCGACGAAACAAGAAAAAGAAAGGTAATACGCGTGTTCTTTGGCACTTGGGAGCTCCGGCGGCCTTCTCGGTGACAGATCGAATAAACCCAAGGCCATTTTGTCCACGGCTTCACCGAGAGATAGCGAGAAATGAAGGAAAACCAGGTGGGAAGGGGTGACCCTCTTTCCCATTTCTGTGAGGTGGGAGGTTCAGGCGTAAACAAACTGGGAGATGAGGGTAGTTATACCATGACATGTGAGTCTATTATCCCTTATAAACCTCTGTGGTGGGGCCTCCACCTCACTCAACCCCCAACCTGTGTTTCAACTTAATATGGAGAGTCTGAGGTGGATTATCATGGGTTGAGGAGAGGGAAATAAGGTCTGAGCTAATTTGTTACTGTCCTGTTGAAGTCTGCTTTATTAACACCCGTCAAGGGAGGCTCTTGATGCAGGTGAGGGGCTCTTGATCCAAGGAACTGGACTTGTCATCTCTTCCTTGAATCGAAATTGATTGCCTCCCGTTTCCCAGGCGCTGTATGATCCATACATGTTTAGCACATTCCCCTAATATAACACTGCCCCACATACAAGTTTGGATTGAGGAGTCTCATACAAAACTTACATAAATTCAGCATTGGTCTCAGGGTACACAGGTGTTATTGGCTTACATATACACAACGTTATATAAGTTAAACTTTGATGATCCAGTGAAATCAGTTTGACATTTTCATAGGTCTACTGGCCAATGCCTGGAAGTTTATTTAGGTACAGGTAGACATAATTACAGTTACACAAATTAGCATACATATTAACATATACATTCTTTATGCTAACATACGTATATGTAAATTACCTAGGATAACCCAAAAAAAAGTCAAAGTGCCTTTCTTCCACTGGGATCTTTGTAGTGCTAATAGACAATAATATATAATAAACCAGACTAAAGTAAGTAAGCTTATTTAGGCACAGATACAGAAGTATAATTAGCATACATAGTTTAGATTACCTAGGATACCCCCCCCTCCCCCCAAAAAAGGTCCAAGTGACTTTTTTAATTTTTTAAAATATTTTACATGGAAGTTACAGTGGACAGGTTTACAGTTTGTTTGGTTACAGTTATGAAAATACATTACATCTTGGATATACTAAGCATACATTTGCGATAAATTATGAAGGTGCTGTTATAATCCCTGTGTATGGGAGGCTGAGTTAACATAGCTGAAGTGAATAAAAATAGCTGTGTGGCTTGCTTACTAATGCCAAATCTTGCTGTAAGATCTTTGATTACTTAACATTTCCTTAAGATCTGTATGATAGCCTTACATTATGAATATATAACCTTAGAACTGCACAGTTACATAACCTTAACTTAGAGCAGAGTGATTACTTAACCTTATACACAAAAAACCAGCACATAGAAGAGAGGAGCTTATGACGACGTTTCGGTCCGACTTGGACCATTTACAGTCACACTAACGAAAAGAGGGAAGGATGGAGTATATATAGGTAGGAGTGGTAGTAGTAGTGGTGGTAGTAGTAGTGGAGGTAGAAGGTAGTAGTGGTGGAGGTAGTAATGGGAGAGGTGGAGCCAGTCAAATACTAAGAAAGAGGAGCACTTAGATCTGTATGATTACTTTACCTTACCTTAGATCTGTATGATTACTTAACCTTATCTTAGATCTGTATGATTACTTTATCTTACCTTAGATCTGCATGATTACTTAACCTTATCTTAGATCTGTATGATTACTTTACCTTACCTTAGATCTGTATGATTACTTAACCTTATCTTAGATCTGTATGATTACTTTACCTTACCTTAGATCTGTATGATTACTTAACCTTATCTTAGATCTGTATGATTACTTAACCTTATCTTAGATCTGTATGATTACTTAACCTTATCTTAGATCTGTATGATTACTTAACCTTATCTTAGATCTGTATGATTACTTTACCTTATCTTAGATCTGTATGATTACTTAACCTTATCTTAGATCTGTATGATTACTTAACCTTATCATAGATCTGTATGATTACTTAACCTTATCTTAGATCTGTATGATTACTTAACCTTATCTTAGATCTGTATGATTACTTAACCTTATCTTAGATCTGTATGATTACTTAACATTATCCTAGATCTGTATGATTACTTAACATTATCTTGGTGCTATATGATCTTCTAATATTAGAGCTGTATGATTACTTAACCTTACTTTAGAGCTGTTTGATTACTTAGGTTTACCTTAGATCTGTATGATTTCTTAAGTATACATTAAATACAAGTGGTTACTTAACCTTATCTTGGATATACAGTACTTTATATTACTTAACCTTACTGTTGATCTGCATAATACTTGCAGATCTCTAAGCAAATCTTAGAGACGTATAATTGTACTTAACCTTGCCTTCAGTTCTGTATAATCTAACCCTACCATTGATCTTTATTATTTCTAACTTTTTTTACATCTGCATGAGCTCTTAATTTTTCTAAAAGATCTGTATTGTTGCTTAGCTTTTTCATTAAGCTCTGTATAACTACTTAAGTTTAAGATCTCTTGATCATTGTGAATGTCTTACCTTTGACCTCTATAATTATCTAACTATCGTAGAACTGCATGATTATTTATTTATCCTTATGATCTGTATGATTACTGAAGATCTGTATGATTACTTGACCTTGATGGATAAAAACATGAAGAGTGTAATGTGATTCTTTATTGACAATGCTTTCCCTACACAATGGACTTTATCAAGTCACTTGTATGACCTTTGTGGATTTACCAGTTAGTTTTGATTGTAATAATAATAATTTATCAAGTCATACACAGATCTGATCTTACCTTAAACATGCATGAATATTTAACCATACCGAAAGGAATTGTTGGAAGTAAATTCTAGACACAAATTTTATTGTCAGTATGATAAGCCCCTTGAAAGCAGGAGTAGATTATGACCATTCACAAGTATAGTAGTTGAAAGGCAAGGCCAGGAGCTGGTGAGTACTATATATTCATGCTTTCTCTCTGCCACCTCTCTTTCTCTGCCTCTCTTAATCTCTTTGTAACTATCTCTCTTATATATGAATACACACACACAATTTTTTCTATAAGTTTCCATGACTCATTTACTCTGGCATTAAAAGTAGCATTTCACTGTCCATCATATCCGTACCTTCTCACAACTGTTCATTTTTGTTATTATTATTATTGCTGTTGTGCTGCTTATTAAAATCCTAGAATTGAGCAGTTCATCATTTCATTTTTCATTCTATAATAAACATATTGAACCCTCTGCTTTCTTTACTTCTTTCCTGGGTCCTTCAAGAGGTTGGTCAATAACTTCCTAAAGGAGGAACCCACTAGAGCTCTTTTCTAGACCTGACACTTGATTGGGGTTTGCCCATGTTTAGAGAAACTTACAAATTTTATTATTCAGTAGTACCATCAACATTTGTTTGATGAAATTCGAGTTAATTGGTTGCCTCACAACATGGGTCTGTTCCTCAGGGTCAGGGGGGTATGTGTCGGAGGGGGAGGAGAAGGTGGTGCGTGCTCCTGGCCTCGGTCGCATCACAGGCTCTGCTTCCATAGAGACGCTGGTCCGGGTTGGCTTGGAGAAGGAGGCTGGACTCTCGCCAGACAGCAAGATGGTAGTCCTCCATGACTTCACGCCCTGCGTTGATGACGAATTGGAAGTGAAGAGGGGTAGTGTGAGTTACCAGAGAATCATTGCTTGCTTTATATGTACATACTATATTGACATCAAATATATTTTCATTAGATTCAGATAGTGATAAATCGCTTAACTTGAACTTTTATATTCACTATTTCACTTTTATATAAATATTCACAGAATAATCATATTCAAAATATTGTATATCCATTAATGTCCTTGTCAGAACTACATCACCATATTAAACCTTTGTACAGTATTAATATTAATTGCATGTGAAATCAGTGGCAGATCCAGGTATATATGAGGTAAAGTGTTTAAAACAAATCCTAATATCTGCAGTAAATTTTATTGACATTTTCACTTCATTTTATTTTTAATTTTATCCCAATTTTGTTTTACAAGTTAGTCTTCATCACTGCTGAAGGGTGCAACTCCTTATTTTTGCCACCAGGCCACCTCATTCAACATAGTCAAAACAACTTGGCCAAAATTATCTTATCTTAATCCTGGATCTACCTCTGAAGTATTGCTTTATGCTTGCATAATTATACTGTATACACTTTATCTGTCTCCATAATAGGCCTCTAACAAATCAGGAGCATCTATACAAGTTGCTTTACTAAAACATTCTTTAGTCCCCTGAAAAAATTTCCAGTGGTAATGTTGATTTAGTAACCCCCAGTTGTTTGGTTTTTATGTCTGTGCATCATAATTGATTACTAACATCTCTAGCATTGCCATAATTAACTTAATCCACTTTTTTGAAGGCTAATTACTGTATTTAATTTTTGTAATGCATGTTTTTTGTCTAGTTTTTAAATATAGTGACACTCTTTTATTTTTAATCTTACACTAATTTGTAATGTTTTATCTCTAAACTTATTAAGTTGGATGTAAAGTTAACTCGGTAATTGAATAGTTCATGCATTTTCCAGGTTGTAAACGTACTTTATCAGGAAAATGATTGGGTTTATGTAATAGCAGAACATGGCCAACAAGAAGGCTTCATCCCTCACTCGTACTGTGCGCCATATGGGTCACAGCTCGGGGAACTTACCATGAACCATAAAGTATGTACTGTACCATTCTTACTTAATAGTTGTTGTCAGAGAAACTGTAACATTATTTCTTGATAGTTTTCATCATGTACCAGTATTTTGTGAACAGTAAATACTTTAAATATTTATACTGTGTAATTCTGTAAGCACAAACTGTATACGTATATACATATACTGTATACTAGTATGTAAGAGTGTAATGAACACTTGTCAGTAGCACAGGCAAATTAACATGGAAATAATTTTATAAAATAAAATGTAAGACAAGTACAGTACTTTATATTCCAACTTAACACTGGGGCCCTCTGTACATGATGGAGAAACCTTAATTTCAGATTTGAATTCAGCATCCCAAAATTAGTTATAAACATATTTTTTAAATGTGAACTGAAACCTTTGTTGGCCAGTGTAATTTGTTATATGCAGTACAGTACAACCTTTTATATGATTGGGCTGGATGGATGCTGTACATTTTTATAAAAACAGTATGTGATATTAACAGATAGTTGGAAAAAGACACAAAATACAAACACTAGGACATTTTATTGGAGGCATTTTGGTCCTGGGATCTTGGTTACCTTAAATGTACACATGGGTAGGAAGACACAAGTTTAATTAGGAAGGCACCTGAGTGGCAGTGAGGCTGAAAAACCTTTGATAGTTTTCAAATAGGTTAAACAAATATGTGAGTAAAAAGGATTGGATTTGAGAAAGGTCTGCCTAGCTTGGGCCAGTTAGCCTGCTGCAGTGTCCCTCATTATGTTTTTATCCAGGTCATCTGATGGCAGCATTTTGTGATGGGTCTGGTGATGCTTGTTCTGTTATCATATCTGCTGGTGTGATAGCTATACTGTAGCTTCCTGCTCTGTGTCGCAGTACAGTGGTACCTTGACTTACGAGTTTAATTTGTTCCGTGACCAAGCTCATAACTCACTTTGCTCGTATATCAAATCAATTTTCCTCAGTGAAATTAATTGAAATGCCATTAACCCATTCCAGCTGAATTCCTGGCTCTCAGGAGGCAGGAGAAAATACTTCAATATAAGCTAATATCAACTCTGCAACTTATTTATCTATCACAATTGATCTAATATGACATAATAAATAATATAAATAATATAGAAACATGATATACTGTATACTCTAGAATGAATAAAATATGTCATTATGTGACGAGTGGTGGTGGCCACTCCCAAAGTAAAAATAATTATCGCTCTGACCATATCTTCCCATTCTTGCCCTTCTGAGGTCTTATTATAAGAGAAAACAGAGTGTTTGTGAGGCTTTCTGCACTAGATCACTAGTTTCATAAGGAAAACACTGCAACAAAATTGATTTTCTCATGTTTTCCTATGATTTCATGCTTTAATTCAATGGAAATCCTCCTCCTCCTCTTCTCAGCACTGTCCTTTGTACTTACTTTCTTAGGATCCATGGTTAGAAAAAAGAAATTTGGCAAAATAACTGCGCAAAGGCACAAAAATGCTGGGATGCTGGCGGATGTTGTGGCATTTGATGCGCCAGCAAGTGGCAGCGTATCTGAAGCTCGAATGTAACTTGATTTTGGCTCGCAACTCGAAGCAAAAACTCGACTGAGCGACGGCTTGTAACTCAGAAAACTTGTAAGTTGGGGCACTCGTAAGTCAAGGTACCACTGTATTTATGGCAATCAGAATGGCTTCCATACACCAATGTCTGCTGATGTCTAGCTCCATGACAATCATCTGTGTAGCAGTCCACAGAAACAAGGAGGGGCACATGATGAATTGGACTAGTGCAAGAGGACTTCACTAACACTAGAAACAAGCTAGAGATTTTGAATGATTCTGGTGATGAGGGGCCATCTGAACTGGGGTGTACATTGAACTTGGGCGAGCCAACTATTTGCATCTTTATATAGAATGCTGAAAGCATTAGGAGCTCTGCAATGCAGCGCAAAGTACCATTCAGAGTTAGTAACTTATTATTTGAGAAGAGAAAATGCTAGCAGTGTGGATGGAAGACCAAAACCAGAGGGAAATAGATTTTCACTCTGATGCCATCAGGGATACTGCCTTGATAATTTATTGTTACTTTAAGATGAAAGTGATCAAGATCCCTTCTTGGTTAATAATTGTTTTGACAGATTCCTTTGGCATAAAAACATGCACTATATTAAAGTGACTGGAGAATCTGCAAGTGCTGGTCATAGTGCTGATGCAAAGTTTTCTGAGGACATTTAAGTAATCATAATTGCTGAGAGGCTCAGTATTAAACAAGTTTTTAATGCCAAGGATGTAATTGACAAGATTAAAGCTTTATGAGATGAAGTGAAGTTCTCTACTTTGAAGTCTTTTTGGGAAGACTGCATTATGTATTTCAAGGGCTTATGAAAGCTGTACACAAGTGTGCAAGAGGTTGTTGAGCTGGGATAGAAGGTAAAGGGTTTTTCAGAAGACATTAAAGAGCTCATTGACTGGCATTATAAAAAATTAAACGATGATGAACTGGTTGCGATCATTATAGCTGCTGATTAAGAGAAAGATGTAATATTTCTCAGTGTAAAGGACCTGACTGAAGATGCTGGCAGAAGTGTTTTCATCTGCTAAAAAACTGTCAATTTCCCTTGAACATTGACCCTAGTCTAAAGAGGAGCCTGAAGTTCAGTCATCATATAAACAATGGGCCTGATGCCTGCAATGGAGTGTATCTTCTGAAGCAAAAAATAAAGTAACATTCCTCCATGTTGCAGTTCTTAAACTTTCCTTCACTCACCCCAGCACCTTATCCACTTATGCTGTCTGATGATGACAGCTCCTTGTCTGTGCCTTCTCTAGATGTCACACTGTGTGTGATGATATAGAATTTTACCTGACCTCTTTACCTTGTCTTTAACTTACAACAGCTGGAACTTAACCACCATCTTCCAACTCCATATTCACCTGTGCTGGTGTCTTTTGCTGTTGGTGACTACTAGGACCATTAACACATATTGCATAACAAATTTAAGATACTGTACATAAATGGGTCTGGGGCTTGTTCTTGAATGGTCTTAGAATATATTCATATGGGTTACATATTAAATTGGGTTTTATTTATTGGCTTTCATTTTTGTGCTGTATGCCAGGAATGCATCTATCATATAGAGCAAGAGACACCAACGGTACTCATCTAGGTTTTTTCAGCTACATGAAAGTTTGTGTGTGCTGTGATTTTGAATTTGTGGTGAGATTTATATAGGTGCAGTGGAACCCCAGTTTTCGAACTTAATCCATTCCAGAAGGTCGTTCTAAAACCGAAACGTGCGAAAACTGAATCAATATTTCCCGTAAGAAATAATGTAAATACAATTAATCCATTCCAGACACCCAAAAATATTCATAATAAATTCATTTTTTAAAGAATATGACACTAATGTTAACTCTATGGCTTATTTATCTATCACAATTGATCTGATATAACATAATAAACAATATAAATAACATAGAACCCTGAAATACACTCTAGAATGAATAAAATATGTTATTACATATGTGGCTAGTGGTGGCAGAGGCGGAGAGTTCGTTGTTGTTGTTGGGGTTTGTAGGGCCACTGACAGCATACTCCATATATGGAGAGTTTGTTAGGAGGCAGAACAAAATCCTCCTTAAATATGACACTAATATCAACTCTATGGCTTATTTATCTATCACAATTGATCTAATATTAATAACCTAGAAACATGATACAGTGGACCCTCAACTAACGCTATTAATCCGTTCCTGAGAGCTCATCGTTAGTCAAAATAATCGTTAGTCAAGTTAATTTTTCCCATAAGAAATAATGGAAATCAAATTAATCCATGCAAGACACCCAAAAGTATTGAAAAAAACAATTTTAACACATGAAATATTAATTTTAATACACACAAACTGAAGAAGACATGCACAGTTACATGACACTTACCTTTATTGAAGATCTGGTGATGATTGATGGGATGGGAAGAGAGGAGTGTGTTGATGGTCTTAGTGTTTAGAAGGGGAATCCCCTTCCATTAGGACTTGAGGTGGCAAGTCCTTTTTCTGGGTTACTTCCCTTCTTCTTTTAATGCCACTAGGACCAGCTTGAGAGTCACTGGACCTCTGTCACACAACATATCTGCCCATAGAGGCCTGTACCTCCCGTTCCTTTATGACATTCCTAAAGTGTTTCACAACATTGTCAGTGTCACCATTAAACACTTGTTCAGGTTTCAGTCCTTCACTGTCTATGTACTCCTTGAATTCCTGCACATATTTTTCAGCTGCTTTTTGGTCCAAACTGGCAGCCTCACCATGCCTTATAACACTATGTATGCCACTACGATTCTTAAATCTCTCAAACCAACCTTTTCTGGCCTTAAATTCACTCACATCACCACTAGTTGCTGGCATTTTTCTAATTAAATCGTCATGCAACTTCCTAGCCTTTTCACATATGATCGCTTGAGAGATGCTATCTCCTGCTATCTGTTTTTCGTTTATCCATACCAATAACAGTCTCTTAACATCTTCTATCACTTGCGATCTCAGTTTCGAAAACATAGTTGCACCTTTGGCAAGAACAGCTTCCTTGATTGCCGTTTTCTTGGCCACAATAGTAGCGATGGTTGATTGGGGTTTTGTGTACAGCCTGGCCAGCTCGGAGACATGCACTCCACTTTCATACTTAGCAATGATCTCTTTCTTCATATCCATAGTAATTCTCACCCTTTTTGCTGTAGGGTTGGCACTAGAAGCTTTCTTGGGGCCCATGGTGACTTATTTTGCAGGTGCAATCACTAAAAAGGCTGTGATAATATGAAATGTTCTGATTGTATGCTTGGAAGCGACCGCTGTGGCTGGCTGGCTTGTAAACACGGCCAGAAGTGGACGCGTCTTAGACGGAACGAATAGTGTTGGTCGAAATTTTTTTAGCGCTAATCGAGGCAAAATTTTTGCAATAAAATGTATCCCTAGTCAGATTTATTGTTAATCGATGCCATCGCTGGTCGAGGGTCCACTGTATATGCTCTAGAATGAATAAAATATGTCATTACGTATGTGGAGTGGTGGTAATGGTGTTGTTTTTGGGTTTATAAGGGCCACTGACAGTGTAAGCCGTACACATATAGTGGTGGTGGCGGCGGTGTTGTCAGTGACCCTATATACCTCAAACAACAATGGAGGCACATTCTTCCCTCTCTCTCAGCCCTTCCCCAAAGGGCTGGCTGACACTAGGAACTTTCTTTGGGCCCATGGTGGCTTATTTTGCAGTCACAATTAATAAACAAGCACTAAAAACAAGGGATTATTACGAAATGTTTTGGAATACGCAAAGTAATGCTCACTCGACCAATGACAAAGGCAGACTGAGACGTGTAGTGACAGCGTCCCCAGGCGGGTGGACGAGTATAATACATCTGATTACCGGATCAAGGTCCAATATTCGGAACAAAATTTCGCACAAAAAAACGGTCCTAAAACCGAAACATCTGATAACTGGAGCGTACGAAAACCGGGGTTCCACTGTATGTATATTCCCAAGAGTTAGTTGGCTGTGGTGGGTTGCATCTTGGGGAAGAAGACCTAAGGACTTGGCTTTTTGGTCTATCCTGGGTTATTGACCCTTTGGAGTTAACATTCCAAATAGTCTTCATGTATGCATATATTACATGCAGATATTCAGAGATTGTATTGATACAGTAGAATAAAATATTGTACTATATCACTTAGGAGCATCCGACAAGTATTTACCCTCTGGGGTCAATGGCCACATTATCTAGCATAGAAATTTGCATGCTATTTTATAAAAGAATGTCCAGTTATATATTTCCTGTCTCAGAAAAAAATGCCGCGTGAACATAACTCGATGGAAGGTGGTGGAGGGGGACTCGATACAGACCACAATACAACAATAGGCACTATCAACTCAGGGGGCACGGGTATGTATACTGGCTAACTGTATTCTAATGTGTAAACTATGGAAAGTTTTGGTTAATGTAGTTGTATGTTTCTGCTTTTATTCTTTTGTCAGTTTTACTCTTTTCATTAACTTAGAAAATTTAAAAGGCACATGCAGTATGATCTATTAAGAAATTGCTATAAAAATGTGTTACCTATGATTTGAGTACAGAGAATGCAATGGTTAAACTGTTGGTCTGGCATCTGGCAGTCCTGAACTTGAATTATCACCCGAGAAATTATGCAAATTCATATTAAAATTAAGCTAATTACTTAAGCATAAGTACATACTGTGTACCCACACTCTTTCTTTGAAGGGGGGAGAACTTAAATTCTGGTAAGGGGGTACCTTCCTCTTTCGTGGATCAAATCTGATGTGCTATATGACTTCTCCATGAATATAATAATAATAATTCCTATCAAAAGAAGGAAATGTATGAAAATATAGTAGTACCAACACTCTTATATGGGTGTGAAGCTTGAGTTGTGAGTGCAGCAGCGAGGAGGCGGTTGGAGGCAGTGGAGATGTCCTGTCTAAGGGCAATGTGTGGTGTAAATATTATGCAGAAAATTCGGAGTGTGGAAATTAGGAGAAGGTGTGGAGTTAATAAAAGTATTAGTCAGAGGGCTGAAGAGGGGTTGTTGAGGTGGTTTGGTCATTTAGAGTGAATGGATCAAAGTAGAATGACATGGAGAGCATTTAAATCTGTAGGAGAAGGAAGGCGGGGTAGGGGTCGTCCTTGAAAAGGTTGGAAGGAAGGGGTAAGGGAGGTTTTGTGGGCGAGGGGCTTGGACTTCCAGCAGGCGTGCATGAGCGTGTTCGATAGGAGTGAATGGAGACGAATGGTATTTGGGACCTGACGATCTGTTGGAGTGTGAGCAGGGTAATATTTAGTGAAGGGATTCAGGGAAACCGGTTATTTTTATATAGCCGGACTTGAGTCCTGGAAATGGGAAGTACAATGCCTGCACTCTAAAGGAGGGTTTTGGGATATTAGCAGTTTGGAGGGATATGTTGTGTATCTTTATACATATATGCTTCTAAACTGTTGTGTTCTGAGCACCTCTGCAAAAACAGTGATTATGTGTGAGTGAGGTGAAAGTGTTGAATGATGATGAAAGTATTTTCTTTTTGGGGATTTTCTTTCTTTTTGGGTCACCCTGCCTCGGTGGGAGATGGCCGACTTGTTGAAAAAAAAAAATACTGTCTGCTCAGAAAAAACCATCTGGTTCATAGATTTGTGCTTAATAAAGGGTATACCTGGAGAGGGTTTCAGTGGTCAGTGCCTCCGCAGCCCGGTCTGTGGCCAGGCCTCATGGTGGATCAGGGCCTGATCAACCAGGCTGTTACTGTTGGTCACACGCAACCCGACATATGAACCACAGCCTGGCTGGTCAGGCACTGACTTTAGGTGCCTGTCCAGTGCCCTTTTGAAGGCAGCCAGGGGATCTATTGGTAATCTCTCTTATGTATGCTGGGAGGCAGTTGATTAGTCTTGAGCCCCTGACACTTATTGTGTTGTCTCTTATCATGCTAGTGGTACCCCTGCTTTTCTTTGGGAGGATGTTGCATCATCTGCCAAGTCTTGCCTTCATAGGGAGTGATTTTCGTGTGCAAGTTTGGTACTAATCCTGCTAGGATTTTCTAAGTGTATATAATCATGTATGTCTCCTGTCTGTGTTCTAGGGAATACAGGATGAGGAACTTCAAACATTCCCAGTAATTGAGGTGTTTTATCTCCGTTATGCGCGCCGTGAGGGTTCTCTGTACACTTTCTAGGTCAGCAATTTCACCTGCCTTGAAAGGTGCTGTTAGTGTGCAGCAATATTCCAGCCTAGATAGAACAAGCGACCTGAAGAGCATCATCATGGGCTCAATGCTCATGAGTAAAATTATGCTTATCCTTGGTTTATCTAATGTTCCAAGCATATAATAACTAACAGGAGCTGAGGTGATTGCTGTTGAAATTCAAAGGTATTCTCTGAGATTGGGCCCAGTCCCTAGACCCATTGTATATGTGACTATAATCTTGACGACTTCCCATGTTGGGTACATGGTGCATAATAAACCTGTCACACTCAAAGTCTCAGAGATATCATTTGGATCATAACAGCTTTCAAATGAGTTTTTTCAGCTCTATATTTTATAGTTCAAAGAATTTTTAAAGAGGAATTTTTTCATTGAATATGTTTATTTATATATAAATATTGATACAGTCATAGCCATATACCTGTACACATATAAAAGCTTCATTTTGGTACTAACAAGGTTAAATTAAAAAAAATAATTTTAACATGAAGACTAAGTAGACTTTTTGAGGTTTAGTTACCAAAAATAACCCAAAAAGGCGAAGCACTGTGGCTTGTTTCCTTCTCTTGGGGTCTCTAGGTCCTCATCTCTAGAATGCAATGCCTAGCAGTCAGTTAACTCCTGGGCAGTTTACTTTTAGGTGAACATAGGGCAGCAAGTGCAAGGAGGCTTGCAAATATGTACATCTTGCTTTGCCTGGCATTTGAACCTGAGTTTCTTCAGATGTGAGCCAAATGCTGTGCCAATGTACCTCTGGTTGCTTATCACTAATTTGATACCTTGAAATTTTCCCTTAAGCATTTTACTGATCTCTTGGTATGGTATCTACACTGAACAATTCCTATTGCTCACTTGGACATCATGTGATCACTGAACTTCTAATAAAAAACATTATGTTGCCTCTGGAAGCATGTGGTGTATCCATGTCAGGGACAGGAAACCTGCCCCTTAGGAGTCTGTGCCCATGTGGTTACTGATTCAGTTACTATTTAGACCCAAAAGTCTAAATAGTAACTTGAGCTAAATAGTAGCTTGAGCTGGCTAATTGGAAAAGTACAAGGAACAGGAGCAGCAGCTCCTGAAGTTTTATATAGGAGGGTTTTAGGGGTGGCAGTCTGGTTGGAAGAGGGGGGCAAGGGGATTTGTTTTGAATCAGCATTATTGCTATTATTATTATTATTTGGGGCTTTTGGGCTGATGTTTTGGGGCTTCAGCCCCCTTTCCTTGGCACTGCCCCTTTGTAGGAAGACAGCAAATGATAAAAAAAGAAAAACTGAATGAGAAAATAGGTTTGAAAGAAAATGTTAGTGTATAGCCATGCTAAAGAACATAATAGAAAAGAGTACTTGATTACCTATCCCAAAATATTATTTCCCTGATATCGTTATTCTTGTTAACATGTCATTATTACAGAAACTTCCTTTGCTGGCCAAATATCAGGGCTGTTTTTGAATACATTATGTTCCTCCAGTGTTCTGACTATCACTCACAGGAGAGGTATTATGGGGTGACTACTGCCTGAAGGATGGTCAGGGAACAAATAATAAAAATATCAAATTACTGTGAAATAGAAGACTAAGATCAACAAGTTTGTAATCAAATTCAATCAATTTACTACAGATGCTTCTCGTTTTACGTTGGTTCAACTTACAATATTTTGACTTTATGATGCTGTGATAGTTATGCACAGTCATTAGTCATCAAACTTTGAAAACTGGTTTATGAACTGTTTTATTCCCCAGGTGAAAGATTATTATCACAAAAACAACATGCCCTTGAAGTTTATTTGTTTATTCAGTGACAGTAGTTATTTATTTACTTATTTATCATATCATATTCAACTTATTATATTTTCAACTTATGATGGGTTCATCGGAATGTAACCTCATCATAAGTCAAGGAGTACCTTTACTTAGATAGCTTACATTAATCCCAAACAGGTTACTGGTATTTACTTGTGCTCTTATGTTGCAGATAATCCTGGCTTAGTGGGTTCAGATAATGAGAGTTATGGAGGCAAGTTAATAGGAAGTCCACCAAACAGAACTTCTGACTCCTCTATACAAAGTGGCACCACTACACCCGACATTCATCCTTTTTTCAAGGTTTGTCAAAATACTTTTTTTTTACCACAGCTATTTACTACCAAGGTAGGGTGATTCAAAGAAGAAAATGCATGCATCATCACTTATTCAGCAGCTGTCTTGTTAGAAGTGCACAGACATCACACTTCAAATATGCTGTATTTTTAGTAATTTCTTATAAGCCCAGTGTCTTTATAATATACACTCTTACATAGTATAAGTTGTGTAAAGTTACATAAGTAAGTTTATAATACTGCATTTTTTATTCTCAGATCAATTTTTTTTAATCTTACACTTTGATGCACCAGTTACATCTGAGTATTATTCTAAGTACAGGAGTAATTATCCTATATTTGTTCAGACTCTATCCTTAATATACAGTATCTTCCAAAATTATCTTTGAAATACACTGAAGATTTTAAGGTATGAGTGCCACTAAACAAGGTTCATCTTGTTACAGTCTGTCTGCAACCATTATTTCTATAATTTTTTGAAATACAAATGACCTTAGGGAAACTTACTAAATAAACTAGAGCTTTAACCCAATAATGATTACAACAATTTCTTTAGTGTATTTGTAATAAATTAAAGCCTTACCCCATTAATGATTAAAATAATTTCTTTAGGATCCTGCTGGCAGGTACATTGTCTTATACACTTTTATTGCACGTGATGAAAATGATGTGAGCGTAGAACGAGGAGAGTTTGTAACGGTGCTAAATCGCGAGGACCCTGATTGGTACTGGGTTCTAAGATCAGATGGGCAGGAAGGCTTTGTACCATCTGGATTTGTCTACCCAGCAGATGTAATACAAGGTAAGTCTGAATTGAATAACTTTGGTAGAATAATATACCTGTAGTGAATACAGTATTTATAAATTTTTATTATTTATTATCACACTGGCCGATTCCCACCAAGGCAGGGTGGCCCGAAAAAGAAAAACTTTCACCATCATTCACTCCATCACTGTCTTGCCAGAAGGGTGCTTTACACTACAGTTTTTAAACTGCAACATTAACACCCCTCCTTCAGAGTGCAGACACTGTACTTCCCATCTCCAGGACTCAAGTCCGGCCTGCCGGTTTCCCTGAACCTCTTCATAAATGTTACTTTGCTCACACTCCAACAGCACGTCAAGTATTAAAAACCATTTGTCTCCATTCACTCCTATCAAACACGCTCACGCATGCCTGCTGGAAGTCCAAGCCCCTCGCACACAAAACCTCCTTTAACCCCTCCTCCAACCTTTCCTAGGCCGACCCCCACCCCGCCTTCCTTCCACTACAGACTGATACACTCTTGAAGTTATTCTGTTTCCGCTCCATTCTCTCCACATGTCCGAACCACCTCAACAACCCTTCCTCAGCCCTCTGGACAACAGTTTTGGTAATCCCGCACCTCCTCCTAACTTCCAAACTACGAATTCTCTGCATTATATTCACCACACATTGCTCTCAGACATGACATCTCCACTGCCTCCAGCCTTCTCCTCGCTGCAACATTCATCACCCATGCTTCACACCCATATAAGAGCGTTGGTAAAACTATACTCTCATACATTCCCCTCTTTGCCTCCAAGGACAAAGTTCTTTGTCTCCACAGACTCCTAAGTGCACCACTCCACCTTTTCCCCTCATCAATTCTATGATTCACCTCATCTTTCATGGACCCATCCGCTGACACGTCCACTCCCAAATATCTGAATACATTCACCTCCTCCATACTCTCTCCCTCCAATCTAAATATCCAATCTTTCATCACCTAATCTTTTTTGTTATCCTCATAACCTTACTCTTTCCTGTATTCACTTTCAATTTTCTTCTTTTGCACACCCTACCAAATTCATCCACCAATCTCTGCAACTTCTCTTCAGAATCTCCCAAGAGCACAGTGTCATCAGCAAAGAGCAACTGTGACAACTCCCACTTTATGTGTGATCTTTATCTTTTAACTCCACGCCTCTTGCCAAGACCCTCGCATTTACTTCTCTTACAACCCCATCTATAAATATATTAAACAACCACGGTGACATCACACATCCTTGTCTAAGGCCTACTTTTACTGGGAAATAATTTCCCTCTTTCCTACATACTCTAACTTGAGCCTCACTATCCTCGTAAAAACTCTTCACTGCTTTCAGTAACCTACCTCCTACACCATACACCTGCAACATCTGCCACATTGCCCCCCTATCCACCCTGTCATATGCCTTTTCCAAATCCATAAATGCCACAAAGACCTCTTTAGCCTTATCTAAATACTGTTCACTTATATGTTTCACTGTAAACACCTGGTCCACACACCCCTACCTTTCCTAAAGCCTCCTTGTTCATCTGCTATCCTATTCTCCGTCTTACTCTTAATTCTTTCAATATAACTCTACCATACACTTTGCCAGGTATACTCAACAAACTTATCCCCCTATAATTTTTGCACTCTCTTTTATCCCCTTTGCCTTTATACAAAGGAACTATGCATGCTCTCTGCCAATCCCTAGGTACCTTACCCTCTTCCATACATTTATTAAATAATTGCACCAACCACTCCAAAACTATATCCCCACCTGTTTTTAAAACATTTCTATTTTTTATCCCATCAATCCCGGCTGCCTTACCCCCTTTCATTTTACCTACTGCCTCACGAACTTCCCCCACACTCACAACTGGCTCTTCCTCACTCCTACAAGATGTTGTTCCTCCTTGCCCTATACACGAAATCACAGCTTCCCTATCTTCATAAACATTTAACAATTTCCTCAAAATATTCCCTCCATCTTCCCAATACCTCTAACTCTCCATTTAATAACTCTCCTCTCCTATTTTTAACTGACAATCCATTTGTTCTCTAGGCTTTCTTAACTTGTTAATCTCACTCCAAAACTTTTTCTTATTTTCAACAAAATTTGTTGATAACATCTCACCCACTCTCTCATTTGCTCTCTTTTACATTGCTTCACCACTCTCTTAACCTCTCTCTTTTTCTCCCATATACTCTTCCTCCTTGCATCACTTCTACTTTGTAAAAACTTCTCATATGCTAACTTTTTCTCCCTTACTACTCTCTTCACATCATCATTCCACCAATCGCTCCTCTTCCCTCCCGCACCCACTTTCCTGTAACCACAACTTCTGCTGAACACCTAACACTACATTTTTAAACCTACCCCATACCTCTTCGACCCCATTGCCTATGCTCTCATTAGCCCATCTATCCTCCAATAGCTGTTTATATCTTACCCTAACTGCCTCCTCTTTTAGTTTATAAACCTTCACCTCTCTCTTCCTGATGCTTCTATTCTCTTGTATCCCATCTACCTTTTACTCTCAGTGTAGCTACAACTAGAAAGTGATTTTGATATATCTGTGGCCCCTCTATAAACATGTATATCCTGAAGTCTACTCAACAGTCTTTTATCTACCAATACATAATCCAACAAACTACTGTCATTTCGCCCTACATCATATCTTGTATACTTATTTATCCTCTTTTTCTTAAAATATGTATTACCTATAACTAAACCCCCTTTCTATACAAAGTTCAATCAAAGGGCTCCCATTATCATTTACACCTGGCACCCCAAACTTACCTACCACACCCTCTCTAAAAGTTTCTCCTACTTTAGCATTCAGGTCCCCTACCACAATTACTCTCTCACTTGGTTCAAAGGCTCCTATACATTCACTTAACATCTCCCAAAATCTCTCTCTCTCCTCTGCATTCCTCTCTTCTCCAGGTGCATACACGCTTATTATGACCCACTTCTCGCACCCAACCTTTACTTTAATCCACATAATTCTTGAATTTACACATTCATATTCTCTTTTCTCCTTCTATAATTGATCATTCAACATTACTGCTACCCCTTCCTTTGCTCTAACTCTCTCAGATACTCCAGATTTAATCCCATTTATTTCCCCCCACCGAAACTCCCCTACCCCCTTCAGCTTTGTTTCGCTTAGGGCCAGGACATCCAACTTCTTTTCATTCATAACATCAGCAATCATGTTTCTTGTCATCTGCACTACATCCATGCACATTTAAGCATCCCAGTTTTATAAAGTTTTTCTTCTTTCTCTTTTTAGTAATATGTCTACAGGAGAAGGGGTTACTAGCCCATTGCTCCCGGCATTTTAGTCGCCTCATACGACACGCATGGCTTACGGAGGAAAGATTCTTTTCCACTTCCCCATGGACAATAGCAGAAATAAAGAGGAACAAGAGCTATTTAGAAAAAGGAGAAAAAACCTAGATGTTTGTATATATATATGCAATACGCGTGTCTGAGAGGGTGTGCCCAAAGTGTAAGTAGAGAGTAGCAAGATATCCTGTTTATCTAGTGTTTTATGATGACAGAAAAGAACAGCAATCCCTACTATCATGCAAACGTTACGTTTGCTTTTCACAGTCATCTGGCAGGATGTAGTACTTCCCTGGGTAGGTTGAGTCAACAACTAACCTAATTTAATAAATAGTATACTGTATTATGATTACAGCATGTGGATTCTGTAGTGTGACCTAATTATGGAGAAAACAGTACGTTCTCTCCATAACTTGATGTAGAGAAGAAAAAGAAAGAATTATATGTAAACAATTCAGGTTTCGATTTAAAGTTGGAAGGAGGTAGACCTCCCTGGGTGGTTGCTGTCTACAACCTACTACTATTTGCACTGAGTAGTATTATGATACAAGAATTTGTCTGTGGAAAAGAAAATTTTGGGGAAAACGTAGTTCTCTCCAAACTTTAATATAGGTATGAGCATAAAAAGAATGGGTTTAAAAAGAAGTAATGAATGGTGAGAAGTATGTTGATGGAATATAGAATGAGATGGGAAATCTTGAGTGTTTTACTTTAGGAAATCTTTGGCCCAAAGAACTTTTCTGTGAGCAAAGGGAAATGTAAGGAGAGCATAGTTATACACACTCTATAGGTATGAAGCATGGGTGATGAATGTTGCAACAAAGAAGTAGATGAATGGTTCAGAGAACTGACATGTTGTTGAATTAGACACATGTGCAACTCTTGAGTATCTTTATTGAGGAAATGTTTCGCCACACAGTGGCTTCATCAGTCCATACAAAGGAGAAACTTGAAGAACAGGAGGAGAATGAGGTAATCAGTCCCTCAGCCTTGAGTCGATGTGGACAGTCCATCAATCTTGATGGACTGACCACATCGACAGTCCATCAATCTTGATGGACTGACCACATCGACTCAAGGCTGAGGGACTGATTACCTCATTCTCCTCCTGTTCTTCAAGTTTCTCCTTTGTATGGACTGATGAAGCCACTGTGTGGCGAAACATTTCCTCAATAAAGATACCCAAGAGTTGCACATGTGTCTAATTCAACAACAAAGAGAAGGCTGGAGGCAGTGGAGATGTCATGTCTGAGGGCAATGTGTGGTGTGAATATAATGCAGAGAATTCGTAGTTTGGAAATTGGGAGGAGGTGCGGGATTACCAAAAGTATTATCCAGAAGGCTGAGGAAGTGTTGAGGTGGTTCAGACATGTAGGGAGGATGGAACAAAATAGAATGACTTTGAGAGTGTATAAATCTGAAGTGGAGGGAAGGCGGGGTAGGGATCGGCCTAGGAAAGATTGGAGGGAGTGGGTAAAGTAGGTTTTGTGTGCTAGGGGCTTGAACTTCCAGCAAGCATGCTTGAGCGTATTTGATAGCAGTGAATGGAGACAAATGGTTTTTAATACTTGATGTGCTCTTGGAGTGTGAGTGAACTAGCATTTATGAAGGGATTCGGGGAAGCCGGCAGGCCGGACTTGAGTCCTGGAGATGGGACGTACAGTGTTTGCACTCTGA